CCCCCCCCCCCCATTGGAAGATTTCCTGTTCTAGCAGCAACTGTAAAATGTTCAACTTGCTATTACTTTCTGTCCCAGAATCAGTGCTTACCAGGCCACAGAGAGGGCGACTATCCTCAATGAGGGCACATGACAGCATTTTTAAACACTTCCTCACGATTAAAAACTTTGAGAACTATGAGGTGAGTGAAAATCACTCATCCTCATAGTTAGAGCCGACGTGTGACAATGAAACTGTCACACGTCGGCTCAATAGATCGGGAAGTGAGCGAACACATACCGTCGCTCGCTCACTTCTCGATCTTCTCCCTGCAGAGAGTGGCGACCGTCAGTCACAGCTTCCCACAGGGATTCCGCCCCTTCCCGATTCTCCAGCACTGACAGGAGGAATGGATGGGGAGGGGCTGGTTACAGCTGGCTCTGCCTCTAGATAGGCAGAGCCCGCTGTCATTCACGCAACTGGGTGTATCTCGACAGTAATATCGGGATCTGTCCCGCCTGCGGCGGTCTCAGTATATAGCAGGCATTAGCCCACTATATACTGAGCTTTGGGTCACAGGAGGAGGTTTATGTCAACCCTTGACCCTTAAGAGGACTAGGGGGAAAAACACTTACCCCATAGTTCTCTTTTAAGTTTTGTCTTTCGCCTAGTGCACACAAACTTTGTGATAAAACTGGAAAAAAAAATGATATTGGCCTTTTCTTTTTTACACAGAAGTAGTTCAGAGTTGGCTGACCAATGGATAGAGCCACCATGGAAGGAAGAGAAGGCAAAGGTGGTTAAATCTCGCAACCAGTGATGACAGAACTCAATGTGCATACTGCTTTCAGGTCAACAACTCAAAGTATAGAAGTCACTGCTCATGCAGCTTCCATATGTGGCTTCTCACCCTGCTTTCTGACAGATTCTCCAAGGGTTTATTCTTGTCACGATCATACACATATACACAGACAGCTGTAAATAAAAACATTTTCTTTTGTATGCTTCATGAACCAAAATGTTTATTATTGTAACATCCAAAGTAACAATTTCCACAGAAAAAAAAATTCACAAACAACAACAAAAACATCAGCAAGCCAGATACGGCCGAGACTTCTCAGTAACATGATAACAGTGATCAGTTACTTGTGTTTCCATAAATGAAAGCAGTAAACTTCCCCGATTTTCCAACCAGCAGTGATTCCAAAGGGAGATTTGTTTTTTTTTAAGGATTTAGCAGTACAAACTTGTGCAACTGATAAATGCATGAATGATTTTCTTCTTCCTCCTCGGCTCTTCCCGACAGGCCAATGAGGTATCTTGTATCCACCTTACAAATGAAAAAATACAATGCAACATATTAGCAGAGAGCTTTCACTACAGGACTACATACACTGGGAGACTTCTACCATGCTGCATTCAAAGAAAGAAAAGTGGCAATTGAAGCGGTTGAAGATGAATTGATACAATAACTGTTTTAGCTGCTAAAAAGTTGTTTTGTTTAGCCACTTTTGTGATTCCTACATTCCCCACCCCCTTTATCGCTAGACAAAATTAGATTTTTTTTTCATTCAACTCTGTTCAAGGAGCTGGTCCAAAATTTCTCAGGCGAACAGTGTCTGTATCCAATCAGGGGGAAGCCATGTTGGGTATTAGAAAACAATAGGCGGCAGCAGGGATTTCTCTATCCACGCAATGGATTTCTCTCCTTAAAGGAGAACTATGGGGTCAGTGTTTTTCCCCATAGTTCTCCTTAGGGTAACGGGAGGACACAAACTAGCGTCCTCCCGTTACCCTAAGCTCAGTATACCGCGAGCTACAGCTCGCGGTATACTGAGACGCCGCAGCCGACTTACATGACGGGATCCGCCCAGCTGCGTGAGTGACAGCTGGCTCTGCCTATCTAGAGGCAGAGCCAGCTGTACCCGCCCCCTCCCCCCGTCCGTTCCGCCAGTCAGCGCTGGCAGATCGGAGCGGGGAATCCAGTCCCTCCCCTGTCACGGCAGAGAGCCGTGACAGGATCGAGAGGCGAGCTAACCCGGTATATGTTCCCTCACCTCCCGATCTACTGAGCCGACCTGTGACAGTCTCATTGTCACAGGTCGGCTAGAACTATGAGGTGAGTGAAAAGCACCCACCTCATACTTCTCCTTTAAGTCTGCAGGGCTAAATGACAGAAATTCTGGCCAGCTTTAGAATGAAGCCAGAGGAGGGGGCTTTTCTGCTTGACTTGCCTACCATTCAACATGGATGAATATAAACAGTGCTTGGCTACATTAGATGGGAGACGAGGACAAAAAAAGAAAAGCTGTACCCGGTTTCATGTGAAACTACTGTAATTATCCAGAAGCTGTCTTGGTGACTGTCACGGTTGTCACAGAGCAGGCGTAATGAGAAATGGCTGCAGAAAACAATGCTTGCAAGGTGCATCTGCATAGGGAGTCCTCGTTTTATTTTTTTTACTTCTTTGGCAGTGTGGTAATATTTGAGATATTTCAGAACATTTTAGCCATGGATTTATAAAAATATATAAAAGAAATGATGGGGACATTATTAGGATGGTGTATTAAGCTGAGCTGCCTCAAAATAAAATGGCCAATTCCAGAACACTGGTCACCCTCTTGCTATTAGAGGCCATGCGAGCGCAGGTTTTCCTGAGCACCAATATAATAATCCAGCCTTAAGATGGAATTGGAAGGACATGCTAACCCAGCAAAGCTAGAGGATTACTTTATGAAATTGAATGCATTCTGATAACAGCATCTCCTGGCATTGCTGAAGATTAAAATATAAAATGCCAAATCCAAGTGTCACACATATAATCCCGTCTGATGACCTGGTTTAGCCTCACAAAGGCTTTTCCACTTCACTGTAAAAATAGTCCACAACACAAATATTACACAAAATGGACTATTTCAACGCAAAGCACACTAAACACATATGAAGCAGAACCCCCGGCACACGTGTCAGCAAATACGAACTCCTGTTTATCAAAGTATATAAAAAAAGAGTGGAAGGATAAATTCTTGCTCATTTTAATACGGAATTAAGAGGAATCATCTCAACATGCTATGAAAGCTGTCACTGATCTCCGTTAAGTAGGGCTAAACGATGAATAAGCGCACATAAAAGTCGGCCAGAATGATAGAAAATGGATTGGGTGAAGACGTCATTACTCTGCTCTACTTCTAACTCGGCAAGGGAGACAGCTCAAGCTTTGAGTTTCTATATACTAAGTAAGTGAGAGATTAAAAAAGAGAATGCAACAACTTTTAATAGATGGTTACACTTACAGAAGGCCCAATGGCTGTACATGAAGGCCGTTTGAAGCGCCTTTGATTTGAAATGGTAATTTCACCTCCGAAAAATGTGATGTTTTATTTCCTAATAACGGGCCGCAACGAGCAACACCACAAATGTCATGGCTTATGAGAGTTCAAGCACAACATATATAACAGTTCAAGCACAAGAATATGTATGTGCATTTAAAAGGAAAGCACCCCCAGCATGCTTCTAATGTGTACACTTAAAGCCCTCAATAGACTACCAGGACATACAAGGAGAAGCTGCACCTCAAAAAATTGTCAGGACATTTTGTTGACCTATGGGGCCGAGCCATGTGGCTGCTGTTCACAGAGGTTTATGGACAGCCCAAATGGCACTTACATTTTAATCACTTGGATGCACTTGTTCTTCAAAATACACCGGGGCAATGCTGAAAAGTACTGAATGAGCAGAACGTTAAAAGGAGAACTATGGGGTAAGTCTTTTTCTCCATAGTTCTCCTAAGGGTCACAGGAGGCCATAAACTAGCGTCCTACTGTGACCCAAAGCTCAGTATATCGCGAGCTACAGCACGCGGTATACCGAGACCGCCGCAGCCGGGAAGGATCCTGACATTACTGTTGAGATCCACCCAGCTGCGTGATAGGCAGAGCCAGCTGTAACCGCACCCTCCCCCATCCGTTCCGCCAGTCAGCGCTGGAGGATCGGAGCGGGAATCCCTGCAGGGAGCCATGAGTGAGTCACGGCTCTCTGCAGGGAGATGATCGGGAAGTGAGCGAGCGACGGTATGTGCTCGCTCACTTCCCGATCTATTGAGCCAACCTGTGAGTGAAAATCACACACCTCATAGTTCTCCTTTAAAGCCTAACCCCAGGGATGACAGTCCCCCCCCCATTAGGCAAGAGCAAAGATTCTTAATCTGCATCCTTATTATTTCTGCAACTGCTCTTCATAATCAGGTTTTAATGGACTGCTTACCACAGACCACTGATTGCAGATATGTTTGAAGCAGCGGCCTCCAATGCACTAAGTGACAGGTCACTAATATGATCTTTGTTTTTTAGTTGGAGTTTCTTGGACAGAAGTGCAAACAATCTGCCCAACCATGCCTTGTACAGAGGACAGACCTGGTCATTACATAGCAACGCCGTGATACTTTCTATGGCATAGTTTTCAGGTAAGCAGACACGACAAGCTCATGAAGTTCAGCCTTTCATACCCTCCCAGAGACCAACAGAATACAAATACATATGGATGTGGCCACATTGCACCATGAAATAGACAGTATCTGAAGGCATTCTTTTGATCTCCTTATTAAAGATAGTTGATGCAAGGGGTTGTTCTGTCTCAAGACAAATGTGGAGTTCAGTGTTCTTTAATAACTACACTTTACCTGGTTCCACTGGTAAGGCTTCCCATTGCACTTCACAGGGATCACCTCACGGGGTTTCTCCTTTTGAAACAAACTTCAACAAAAGAAAGGTTAACTTAGGAGCAAATTTCATTGTTATGGATAACTGAACTGTTGCAGCATTTCATGACAACACCCCCGATTCACCTAAAGGAAACCTCTGAAGAAACAAGTGTGGGGACTGCCATTGCTGATCATCTTCACATTCTAGTTGCCATTATACTGACCCCCGGCATTTTATCCTGATAATACATATGAAGCACATTAAGTAAAAAGAGAATTTATAAAAAAAAAAAAGTATACAGATCTGTTTCCGTTCAGTGATTTCAGCTGCCGATGCAAAACAATTGGCATAACATCCAAGCAACTATAAAATAATCAAGCAGAGGTCAGCAATGGCAGACCGCTTGTTTCTCTCATTTCAGGTTACCTTTCTATAAATCACAGAGCTCTTAAAAGGTTATTAAACCCTCAGATGTTTTTGCATACATCTACGGCTAGCAAGCAGCAGATATATGCATAACGATTAAAGAAAAGAAAAAAACTTTTTCAAAAACAGTTGCTTCTTACCGGTGTCTCCCGTCCGAACATCTGAAAATTTCAACAGCGACTGCAAAGGATCTTGGGGCGGGCGCATGCGCAGTTTAGATGTTCGGCCAGGAGACGAGAACAGACACAAGGTAAGTCTATGGAGCAGCGTGCACCCGCACAGACTCCGTGGGATATGAGCAAAGAGGACAGAGGAGTCAGCGCTGGATCGGAGACCTGCACCATTGCTCGAGGGACCGCTGAAAATTACAGGGAAGATCGGATTAAGAGGTATCATTTAAGGTAAGCCCTTACATCAGCACTGTGTGGGGGGGAAGGCAGGACTTTTGTCCTTAATGTCACTTTAAGTTACTTCGAAAGCAACTTTACTAGAGGACACATTGTAACATTAAGGGTATAGAGCTCATTACGGGAAACATTTAATCAGAAATTTCAAGTTACTGATATACCCAATATGCTCAGTGACTGACTTGCACCAATAAAAAAACAATATTTATGATCGGCGTCTGTTAACGTACCTTCAAAACCCAGTTAATTCTGTTTTTATGCTCATCATGGACTTGCTGCAGTGTCAGAGTATGTGGTATCATGACAACAGCTATAGGAATGCAGTTTCTGATGCTGAATTATACCATTTGCATCTGCGCTTGGGAAGTTAAGTGTTTGTGCCGCCTATAGGAGAAATGGACACTAGCCACATAGAAAACTAAAGGCAACCATTCTTGAACCAACAAAAACCCTGCCACCTGCTCAGTTTTGCTTCATGTACTCAGGAGAATGGTTTTTCCTTCTCTTACAATATTTTGCTTGAATTGAAATATAAATAGCTACTGCAAAATTTAGGACGGATACTGAAAATCCAGGAAGTCTCTCCACTTAGCCAACAAGCGCAGGCTTTCCCAGTTCATTCAATATACTGGTGTTCTTTTGCTGATGGTACTGCAGTTAGCAGTGACAATTTTAGTTCCAGAAAGCACAGGACTCCACTTTGCAGATACGGCTAGTACATGTGAGGATCCCTTGTGGAGTTATGGGGACCAAAGCTGTGACAGTTTCACCTGACTGTCTCTGAAGACACACTTGTTGTGTTGGCTGAATCAGGCCTTATGCTGTGTTGGGGATTTTGTCTTCCTAGAGTAGCTCTGTCCTGGTGGTGCATGCACAACAGTGTTCTGGTCCTCCACTGTCCAAAGAGGAACCCACTGTATGTGGTTCTTGCCACAAAAGCAGCTGTAGTGGGCTGGGCACTCTGTAAGGGGGAAAAGATCTCTTTCTGGGCTTGCCTATATAACTTTAATAGTACATTAACAAGCTGGGCATTGTTCTATGGCAATGGGTTTATTTTCTCTGACACACTGAGGGGCGCAGCTCCCTCCCCTCAGAAGTTTTCATTTACACTCTGGACTGCTTGCTACAACTGAGCAAGTGTGAGGTGGGATGGGTCATGGCCTTAGGGGAGATGGCCTATGTACATCTGTTGTCCATTTCTCCTGTAGATGGCAGTATAACCCCAGGTTTCTTACTATCAAGCGGTGTCCCACTATGGACTCCAAGGACAGGATTATACGGAGAGGACAAAAAAAACATTATACCTGTAGCTATCAGATATTTACATTTTCGTAGTGATTGCATTACAAATCAAAACCAGTTTGGCAAAAACATACCTAGCTTCTGACCACCATAGAAGTTATTGTGGTATTTTATTTTTTTTAAAATGAAACTTCCTTTTTAATCTTACGCCATACGTGACTTCTGATCTGCCAGAAAAGTCTGTCTGCAATGGGATTTAGTCTTTGCCCTTTTTCACAGAGAACAGAAAGAGAAATGTTTAACTGAACATGCACAAATTGGTGCAAGTCAGAAGCTACAGCAATTCAGATGAAGACGAGCATCTCTTAGCTTGCGGCTCTCCATAAAAACAGGTCTATGCAAAGCCTATGGAGGGTAAAGGTCAACATAAGGGAAGACAAACATGGTCACTTCCATCTTCTTATCGAGTTCAGTCCCACAAAGATTATCCATGCGGGAAAATCTGTGTGACATAACAAGGACTTCTAATGCAAGAACAACTCATTACAGACCTCAGGGTAGATAAGGGGATGATATGCTCATTAGATAATTGGGACTATGCTGTGCAGCAAAAAAAACAATGGTCTAAGGTCATCAACGTAAGCCCAACCCTCAAAACTGGAACTCCTACTCAATATAGCTGCAACCTCAAATATTTCCACAACAGAGGCAGGCAAATCAATACTGTAATGCAATAAAGCATGCTAACAACACATACAGTTTATTGGAGGGTGACTTCAACTCGCTTGTTTCACTTTAACAAACCAAATTTTAAAAATAGGGCAAGGTTTGACAGAGCTGAAGTGATGTGCTGTTCAATAAACCCATCGGTGGCAAGCAGCAATCCATTAATTAACAGATTACTGAACTGTACTCATGATGCAGAATGTACCTCCAGAGCAATTTAATTAGGTTGTGACTCGTTGGATAATCTACCATTATTTTTGGCTCAAAGCAAAACTGAAGCAATATAAAAGCAGTAAGGAATAATTAATGTCTGCTAAAAAAAAAAAAAGGTTTTGAACCAAATTTATTGTGATACACGTTAGCTCTATAGCAGCTATTGTACTGACTGGAGCTTGTCAGGGCAGCCCAACTACATAGACATACAATGCTAAGACAAGACATTTTGGTTCACTGGGGCTGTAATGTTTCATACCTCAGTAGTTGTTCCCGGACATTTTCCTGAAGCTGCACAGTGCATTCACTGCTGATGGAGCCTTGATGGCTGTAGCAAACCACCTTGTTCATAGCTTCCCTTATCATATTTATCTGTAGAAAAGGGGGAAACAAAAAAAACATAAAAAAGAACATAAGCATAGTAGAAGCCGATATAAAACTGCAGAGCTGGAAAGCTAAAGAAGCTGCTAAATATAAAACCTTCAAAAGATCCTCAGTGTTGGTGCGGACATCAAAATCTAATTCAATGTCATGTTCAGGCCATACGGCTACATTTCTGTACTGCCAACCCAGACCACAGAGGGCGCCCGTGTACTCTCTTCTCATGTCATCAACTCTAGAAAACAAATTAGAATTGAAAATTAAAAATGTGTATAGAAATATCCCTGAAACAGTCAGCAATCACAGATGTGAGGCCCTCCTCACAGTAAACACAATAGTGTAAACAGAAGAAACTGAAATGTACCCCTGTGTAGCCAGTATATGAACACCCTGGGAGTCATCTAGACAGTGAAATAGCAGTTATGATGAAAATCTAATGCTGCCACTGACATAAGGGATACCGAGGTGGCCAGCTGCAAGCAGTTCTGTCGCTCCATATCCCTTATGTCGGCTGCGTCCTAAGCCTGTAAGGTCATGGACGCTTCAGCAAATATTTTACCCAACATCGATCGCATCCACAAGTTTACAATATCCTGTTTTTCATGTCCAGTGTCTCCTTCAGAACTGGCAGAGTAATAACTAGGGGATGCAACGATATATCTGGCATAATGCTGGCTTTGCCCCGGCGGGGCTCGTGCGGCTGCAGGGTGAATGTGGCAGACGCTGCAGAGGGGCGGGACACCTCTCCCCATGTGATGAGGTTATGGCGAGTAAATAGATACCAAACATGCCCAGGTTAAAAATGAAGAAGCCTCCAGCAGCAGCGTGGTGAAGAGTCTCTTGACTGAAGAAAAAAAATAAAAAATGTGACAGTAATATAGGATTTCTGCTTCCTTTCTCCTGCCTCTGGTGACATCACCTCCTCCCCACTGTAGCCAGCCAGTCACCCGAGGGGCTCTGCCTTTATATGTTCCCAGTGGAAATGGGGAGAAGATGCACACTTCCAGGACAAAAGCAGGAATGAAGCCAGACACTGAGATAAAACCTTTATAAACACAGCAGCTATCATGCAGAAATCCAACACCCATATTTATTCTTTTATTGCCAAGGTATACTTTTAATTTGTAATAAATACTACTCACCACTGCTCCCTCTTAAACTAATGGAAATTATATAATATTACACAAGTAGCATAGCATGTGTAAGTTATAAATATGCATATCTGTCCCTGCATACATTTAAAAAAACTTTCATTTATAAACAAATAGGTCCTTTATGTCCTGGTCTATAACAGCGGGAAGACTTCACCCTTTAAGGAGAGCAGGGTGATATAAAAACAGGAGAAACAAGGTGTTATTGCACAGATAATATGTCAATATACCTTAGCTCAATCACAGGGGCAAACAACATTGTAATAAGTGCCGGCAGTCCTGGAATAGATGGAAGTAACGAGGTTTCCCGTAGCATTAGCAAAGAGCCTACATCAGGAAAGAAATAAAGACATTTAACTGGTTGTGAAAAAGATAACCATTTTATTACTAATCGTAAAGTAAAACTAAAGACAAAACTACTTTTAGGATTTGCATGAAGAGGTAAGGGGTTAGAATCACTCAGGTGTTTGAGGTCTATATGCACATTAGGGAAACTCACTCTCTAATTGTCCAAACTTTTGAGTTGTTACCAGAGCAGAATCAAGGTGCCCATACACTGCACGATTATCGTACGATAATCGTATGCGATCGGTTTTTCGTACGATAATCGAGCAGTGTGAACGGAGACGTGCGACCGTTTCTACTGTACGGTCGCACGTCTTCTGTCGAACCAGCATGTTCGAAAACCAGCCGGGAATCATACGATTCTCGGCTGGTTAGAACGGTGCTCGGTAGATAAATGCTGAACGGGCCGGTGTGCGAACGCGCACACTGCCCGTTCAGCATTGCGCTCATCGGAAGCCCGCCCCTCAGGGGGGTGGGCTTGCGATGATCGAGAGTGCGATCTGCCTGTCCAAGATAGGCAGATCGTACGTTTTTTTAATCCCTTTACAACCATTGCAAGACTAAAGTCTTGCGATGGTTGTAGAGTGTATGGCCACCTTTAGAGGGGAAATCTTCCAATGGGAACACCTGCTCCTGTGAAAACTGTCTAAGAGGGGATTTTCCCTGACACTGCAGGGAAGATTGAAACATTTTTCTTGAAGTCTATTGAGGGTCACAGGAATTTAGCAATTACTAAGTTATACTGCCACTGACAGGAAGATGGGACAATGGCAAACAAATATAAACCCCCATATAACCCCACACAGACATGCAGAACTTGCGTCCTTCCATAAAGATTTTACTCTGGACCAAATTCTTAGTTTCTTTATTAAACATTTAGAAACGAGCTTAATTTTAAATTGGCAGGTCGTCCAAAATCAGTCCAACTGAGGGGTCAACAAAAGCCACTGAAAGATGGAGATCATGCTACAAAAGATTATTAGATCTGAAGGAAGCAACAACTGCTCTGGGAGGGTTTTGGTGTGCCCTGGCTAGATCTCCTTGCAAGAGAATGTTTTCCCATACTGCCATATGTATTCCCCTTTCATAGGAGTACTCTGCACAAGCTTTGACAGCAACTGGACATATGTTAAGGCCAGAAATATACGCTTCTGCTGGGATCTTGGGGTTTATAGTTTCTCTTGTTTAACACTTATTGGCCAACGATATTATTGGAATTTAATATTTTTTGTTATTTCTATTATACTGTAGATATAATTAACTGATGACAAAGCTTTGTACAGTAAACTCTGTTATCCAGAATTCAACTAACCAGAACTCTGTCATAAATAGTGAAATTTCCACCTACTGTCCCCTGGAGAGGGTATGTGCTCTCATCCCAAAATGCAATTTTCCCCTGCTGGATTTTGCCACATAAGCCCCATCCAAATCAACTGCACAACAGCATTGTGACATGCGAGAAGGTGTGGCAGCACTTTCAACCAGTCATATCCAATGCTGCACAGAACATTACCAACACTGAATGCTACCTGACCATACAGATGAGATGACTTCATCATGATCTGCCACTTTTACTGTCTGATAACAAGCTTGGGTGGGGATCCAGACAAGGCTGTATGGCACAAATGTAGCATACTGCTCTATATGTTACAGAAAGGACTAGAAGTACACTGTGCTGTCTGGCAAGACTGGGTGGGTTACAAGACTGGGTGGGTTACAAGACTGGGTGGGTTACAAGACTGGGTGGATTACAAGACTGGGTGGATTACAAGACTGGATGGATTACAAGACTGGGTGGATTACAAGATAGGGTAAAGATCCCACATACAAGTATATTAACTATAATTTGCAATCTGCCTAGGAATTAGAGTTAAACATATGCACCAAATACTAAAATGTAATGCCAAAATGAAGGTGATCTAAATACCAGTTGAATTTACGGACAGGGATGCTGCAACAAACATTCTCTGATGAGATTCCTCTGGAGTATCATTAACCAATACAGAGTTGATACTTTCTTTCTCGATCCAAACAGATCTGAAAGGGTCAAAACATTGATACTAATACTGATTACAAAGAAAACATGCCATGTATAGTAGCAAACTAGCCATAGAGGAAAAACAGGATGTAAAATTAATAAGCCTAACATGCGTCTTTCCCAAATGCCATCAATAAATATAGACGGATACATAATTATGCAATGAGAGGGATATTCTACTTTTCCTGGACATACAGATCATCACTAATGTGCTTGTGAAGATAATGTTGGCATTTGCAACACAACCAACCGACTTTGGTCACAACATAATGGCCAAGGAAAAATGTGCGTCCTGAGGTCACACAGATTGAGAATCACTGTTCTACAGCATATGGTGCAATCACTGAACAACTCAGAGAAGATATATGGGAATTCCCAGATATCAAGTTATCCAATTCCAGAACAGGTCACCGCTGCACTTTAAATCTCGCTTCTCTTTAGACACTGCTGCATTTAACAGGATCCCCCCTTTTCTGCCATAATCATTTTACAATGCAATCACTGCTGGCAACTAAAATTTAAAAAAAAGACATCTGCCAAATCACTGGCAAGTGTGAAGAGCTGTGATAACGTAGAAGCTGGCAAAGAGTTCAACACACATTTCTGGCATAAGTTATATCTTAGGAATAGCTCAAGTTACGAATTAACCATATTTAGAAATAAACTGCTAAAGGGTCTTATGTGACCAATATTAAGCAACAGGAAGAATAAACGGAAGAAAAAAAAACAAACACAAAAGCTATTTTTACATAGTTTAAACACATGCTGTATTTTTTTTTTTTTTTACCTGAACTTGGATCCTTTGATCATGCTGTGAAAAAGGATTTCATAGGGATGGAACGGTCCATAAAGGATTGCCTAGGCAAACAAGTTATGTTAAGTACTCTGAAATGCAGAAACAAAATTCAACTCCACTGCCTACAAACCGTAAATAAATCAAGAGCAGTGTTCTACACAAGTGAGGAAAAACAAGAATAGGATTTTTGTACTCACCTTAATATCTTTTCCTTGGAGATCATCAACAGACACAAAGTATTTAACTTCCCAGTGTGCCAGCTACATGGGATTGCACACTGGCAAGGACAAAAAAAACCCCACAAAGACAGAAGGCCAGCCCACCAGTACCGAGAACATAAACTGAGGGGTGGGACCTATGTCCCTTAATGGAATCCAGGAAAAGGATTTTAGGAGTACAAAAATCTAATTTTCTTTCTCATCCATTTAAGGACATGGGACCTTCACAACATCCAAAACAGTCCAACTGCCTTGGCAAGTTTTCGATTACCCAAGACTCTTACCCGATTACTCTGGTAGAAGCAACAGGCTGACCATTTCTATTTCAGAGTGGTTTGCACTACATCAATAGTAACTTAAACATCATCCTTTCATTTGAGAGTAATAGCAGAAGACAGACTCCTCAGGAGCAAGCTCATCAGTCAAAAACTTGAGCAACTTGGAATTAGACAACTTCCAAGCCATTGTCTGCAGAGACTTAGGGCACAGTTGAATAAGATAACCAGGTATAGGATGCGGGAGGGTGCTTGTAGCCTGTGTGGTTAGAGTTTGCAGATAACTGGGCCATAACAACTTGCATGACTGTTGTAAAAACCTCAAAAGGGGCAAAGGAACTAGCAACACCTTGCTGAGCTAAAGAGGGCTTCAATGACAGAACAGACTCTAGGAGTAGAAGGTAACAAGATTCCAGACTGCAGATGTCATCTCCATCAGTAGGAGCACTTCAAACAGCCCCAGAGCAGTTACAGTATAGTGTGAGCTCCAGGCACGGAGGGACTGCCCCTCAGCTTCAATCAAAAAAATCTGCAGACATGTGAGGCAGGCAAAAGAAATAATCATAAGAAAGCTTGCTGTATCAACATGCAAATGCAATGTGAATACAATCTTTGGATGAAATACCAATCATGCATCAAAATTACTTTACTAGTTGATCCTTCTCCACAAATATATAGGTCACAGGGTGTCTGAACTGATAACGTGCCATCCTTAGATATACAAAGTTGCCTCACCTGCCCAAAATCTTCCACGTAAGACAACTGACTTATGTGTATGAGCATCCAAAAGAGGATTTAAATGGAACAATAACTAAAGCTCATGAAGCTATTTGACAGTCTTACTGGGGGGCTGAAACACAGGCAAAACTTTTTTTTTTTCCCTTTTGGTTTTAGATTGAGTAGGCAAGGATTAAAGAAGTCGTCACACCTTGTTTTATTTTACACAGCTCAGTCACCTAACTCCCACAATATGTTGCTTTTCATACCATGCTTGTGTGGAGTAGCAACCAAGATACAGACTGACAGTTCACTCCTGACCATGCTCTGCAAAGGAGACCGCCTCTTAACTGAAAGGACTTCTCACGGTCGCCACACTTTCCCAACACAAAACAAGGCTCCTCTTCAACTTCTTGTGCCTCTGCTCATTCCTGTGAAATCATTCCCCTTCCATCTGCATTCCTGTGACCTCGCTTGTGTCTGAACAGGGACATGGAGATAACAGCTTTCAATCAAATGGCCGTCTCCTTTGCAGAGCGTGGTCGGGAATGAAGAGCAGTGACGTGCCAAAGTTGGGATCCCAGTTTCTACTTCACAAAGAACCATGGGATAAAAAGTAACATATACTGTGGGAGTTAAGTGAATGACCTGTGAAAAATAAAGTGAAACTTCTTTAATGCCATTTATGTCTCTGGGCAGATTACCAGAAACAGGAAAACAATTGCGAGAAAAACTTGGTTTTGGAAATTCCACATTTTTGGGCAGAGATTTCTTATGTCTATTGTAGAGGAAGTGAAGGCAATTCTAAATGGGACAACATTTTTTTTTTGCCAGCGTTAACCATTCCCTATTCTATCCAAAACAAAAAACACACAAAAAGGTGTTGGCTTTCAATTTAACTCTGCTGGAAAAATCAGCACTCCAGGGTCACCTAAAAGCAGATTACAATTGCAAAATGTAGCTGAAAAGGAAGATCAGGGCTGATCACTTCCCTTAGCAATGATCAGGTGATCAAACTAGGCTTTTAGTCACCGCAGTAGCTTTGGAAGCCTGGTATAGCATATTTACCCTTTATTACACATAGCTATAGGTCCATTAAAAAAATTAAATAAAACCATGTCTGGTGGCACAGCTGTACAAAAGTGCAAATACAACATACGCAATAGTCATATATCCTCTAAATCAAATTCTGCTCCACCAACATCTCTCTATTACAGGCAGTGTTCTGTGGTTGGGGCTCATACACTGCCTCATGATTGACCCAGTTTTTGATTCATGTACTACATATTTGCTAAAAAATATTTCTATCTTTGTTCTTCCAAAGGGAACATACAGGCATATACAGAGAAAGCACTACGACTGTGGTAAGGTTAGTACCTTGTTATTTGGATGTCCAAACTGCTTATTCTGGTAGCTTTCCAGCAGGCTGTCAATGCGTTCCTTCTCTTTTTTCTTCTCAAAGCCACACGTATGTTTTATCCCAACACTGCTACTCGCTGCAAATACCTCTTTCAGCAGGATGTTGCTTTGCTGGAGGAGAATGAATGCGTAAAATTGCTGTAAGGTCCTATCAAAAATCATTTACACATTTTTTTAATTTATTTGAATTTAAGCCTCCTCAACCATATTTTTCAGCTTCATGTCTGCCTTGGACTGGTCCTAATATAGCAAGGGAAGTCTCACTTTTGCCATTATGTTAAAGTGACACTAAACTCAGGAGTTAAATCTTAAAAGTGCATTCAAAAGTACCTTAACTATTAACAAAAATGTATCTTATTTGTGTATCACTCAGCCGTAGATCCTCAAATCATCTCTGAATTGGTGCCGACACTGACCTTCCTTCTGGAGGGTGGCTACTTTTGTTCCCCGTGGTCTCTGCGTGTTGTAAAGTAGTCACCGCTCCAAGCTCGCTCCTGTGATGGATTATAATCTCAATACAAATTATTACACTAAACATGACATTGTAGTCTATCACAAGAGTGATCTTGGAGCGGTGACTACTTTACAACACACACAACACAGGGACCATGGGGAATAAAAGTAGCCCCCCTCCAGAAGGAAGGACAGTGTCAGCACCAAATCAGAGATGATTTGAGGATCTACGGCTGAGTGATACACAAATAAGTTACATTGTTGTTAATAGTTAAGGTACTTGAATGTATTTTTAAGATCTAACTCCTGAGATTAGTGTCACTTTAAAGGCTTTATAGTTATGGCAGCTGTGGGCGGTTTATTTTTTTACACCAAATATGCACAGAATGCACACTATTTTCTTGCTCATGTGATTGGTTCATTGCTTTAACATTTAAGAATGTATTTTTAATATTTAACTCTATTTTAATGTCACTTTAATTATTAAACCGTGAAGATGACCCTAGCCAGAGAACCCAAAGACTTTACAGTTTTTCAAGCACCCAAGTGGACCCTTTAGTGTTCAACTGTCTCAAAGCAAAGTCTCTACTGCCCACTGAAGCTTTACCAATTGACAGCCTTAGTGGCAGAAGAGCATAGGACTCAACTAGAAAACAAAAGCTGGTCTCATGTAAAGCCAAGGCGCAGATTCCAGGAGGCTCTCGCTAAACTTAAAAACAGGTACCAAAAATACCTGCAACTCAGATCTGTGACTTTAGACACTTTTTAGACAAGGTCAGGCTCTCGTTAAGATATGAAAAATACAACCGAATGAAGAAACCTTCCTACTGCTAAAAAGAATCAGAATCAGTGATTTTAAAAACACAAATTTTGTTGTCAAGAGTCGTAAACAACCTTTCAGTTTCTAGGAAAGAATGGCCGTTCAGCAAGCAACCTGTAATACATCTAGATTAACAAAGCAGAGTTCAAATTTCCATCAGTTACCTGGTACACAAAAACAGACCATCCAGGAGCTACCGTGTTTCCCCGAAAGTAAGACCTACCCCGATAGTAAGACCTAGCGCTATCTTCAGGGATTTCTGTAATATAAGACCTACCCCGAAAATAAGACCTAGTTCGGTGGTAGGTCTTATATTGCAGAAATCCGCTAGGTCTTACTTTCGGGGTAGCTGCACATAAACTGAGTAAAGACCGGACGCAGCTCCCGCCCCGCCCACACACCAGCTGGCCGCAGCTCCCGCCTGCCCACACGCCGGCCGCAGTTCCCACCCTGCCCACACTCCCGCCGGCCGCAGCTCCCGCCCACACGCCCGATGGAACCGGCATAACATCACACCGGGAGCGGCAACAGCACGCCGCCTTCTGGGACGTCCAGTCCTCCCCCAGCCAGGTAAGACATCCCCGAAAATAAGACCTAGTGTCTTTTTTCGTGCAAAAAAGAAAATAAGACACTGTCTTATTTTCGGGGAAACACGGTATGACAACTACACAAAGTGAGCCAAATCATGGCTGGGTACAAGAAATACACATATGATTACATTTAATATGATTACATTCCCACTGAATCACTTTTCTTTACAAGAAATCTACTTGTGCAAAATTATTCAGGGGGAAATCTATGTTAGTAAAGCAAAATGTAGAGAACAGATGTCTTGCCAGAGTAATTTTAGCAATGCCACAGGAATTTCCCTTCCGCTTCATGGTTGACAATCTGTCCACATTAATAAATACAAATAACTGTATCGTGCCACATTCTGAAATGTATCAGCTGCCAGCTAGCTAAGCATGATAATAAAAACCAAAGTTTCAGGTAACCCCAGCCAACCACATGGATTTCATTTACTTTCATAAATAAGTAAATGAAATCATTACTGCTCTATCAGGCAATATTATAACTGGATATGTATTTGGTCATGTGTGTCATCTCACTATTGGGGAGGGAGTCAGTGTATTACGATTTAATGTAGAGTTCTAGGATGCAGATAGGGAGCTGGTCATACACCATTTAGATGCAAAAGACAGACAATGGAGTCATGGACTTCATGGTGAAAAGAGGATGACTGCAGGGGATAAAGATGTGCCGATTCAACTTTCCAAGGAGAAGTTCATCCGATTTCTCCTTGTGTGCGAGGTCCTGGTGCAGCTTTCAGCACCAAGCATGACAAACCGCTACATGCATAGGTAAGATCAGGAAGAGTACAGCTTAGCACATGCAGGACTATTGCCAATTTAGAAGCTCAGAAGGCATTACAGACTTGGGAGTTCATCTCCACTGTGGCAAGCAAGGGACAGTGTTGAGTCAATATATCAAAAAAGGAGAGCACAGTGGAGAAAAAAGGAGCACATGACACTGGAACACAAAAGCAGAAAGGCGGCAGCAGACACGGCTACAAATCGCAGGGCATCAGAGTGAAGTGAATGCAGCAAAATTATGTCTAGGGAGAGATTCTATCTGACCTCACATCACTAAGCACTTTCTATACCCTCTACACTCTATACTATATTTTGCTCTTTTTTGTTTATTTCTGCTGCAGCTCTCCCCATACTGTCTGCAGGAGCTTTTCTGAGGGCTTGCTCACACCTAATGCAGACCAGATCTGCATTAATTTCTGCACACACAGTGCAGTGTGTTATACTGCGTTTTTTGCCTCGTTTTTGATGCGTTCCGAGCCATTTTTGGTTAAAAAAAATTTCGTTTAAAATGGGCTTTCAGTGCGTTCACATGCGTTTTTGATGCGTTTGCATGCATTCCAGAGCAGGTAAAATAGGGCTTGCTGCAGTTTGTTTACATGCTCTGGAACTGAACACTGCGGTGTGAACTAGAGCCCAAAATACCATTGGATGCAGTTTTGATCCGGTCTGTAACTGCTCTGCTCCTGGAACGCGCTCGGTGTGAACAAGCCCTCAAAGCACCTCACCTATTCACACTGCAATTCTCCCACTTTCCACCCGTTTCATGCCGCTCTCCCTCTCATCATACAAAAGGTTTATAATTTCCTGAATGTATTTTTTATTTAACTTCCCATGATATCTTAAAGCGGACCCTTACCCCCTTTCACTAAAAATCCCTTCAGCACGCATAGTTAAACATATTTTTCATTTGCTCACAAATAGGAGTTCATCTACTTCCTGGTCCACTTTGGCACAAATTATGCAATTGTGCCCAAGTGATGCATTCTGGGGAGGTTACATTAGCAGAGCATTGCTGGGAAATCTCATCGCATGAGATCTCAGTGAAATGCATTTTCCTCCCCTGAGAGGTGCATGGTCACATGTCCTAGTCACATTTGCCAGAGTTCCAGGAAGTAAAAGGAGATGGATTAATCTGCCCTTAGTAAAAATGGCCAGTCAGAAGAATGGAGAAGAAAAGGAAAATAAGGTATGCAAAGAATAAAGGCCGGCAATGATTTATAAGTATCTATTTGTAGACTGTCATTACTAAGGGCTTGTTCACACCAAGCGCGGAGCAGATCCAGACCAGAGCAGGTGCAGACCGGATCAAAACTGCGTCCAATGTATTCCTGTGGTATTTTGACCTCCAGTTCACATCGCAGCGTGCGGATCCAGACCAGATCCAGAGAAGGTGAAAAAACTGTGGCAAGCCCTATTTTACCTGCTCTGGATCTGCTCTGGAACGCAACAAAAACGCAACGCAATGCAACCCAATGGGAAAAACTAACCATAAAGAAAAAAAACCTCTGTGGTCATCTGTCATGACCTAATCTTCCTTTGTCACTTCCTGTCTTTGGAAAAGGTGACCTTGTGAGCTGGAGAGCAAAGGAAAAATGGTGGACCAGTTTTGTGACCCAGAGAGATTCATGAGTATGGTTCAACAGTGCCCTGAGCTATATGACAGCAGACACTTTCAATATAAGAACAATAGAAAGAAGGCTGACCAGTGGAGTTTGATAGCAGGGAGAGTTTTCCTAGGATATAAGGATATGTCCTTGACAGATAAGGAGAGCTGTGGTGAGTACTTCAATGTGAATGGCACTGTATACTAGTAGTTCCTCAAATGCAGTATTCCATCCCGCCACCACTCCTCCTAATCACACTGCCTGTTTGCTCACTGACACCTGCAGCTGCTTTTCATGCCGCTTGTGTGGCTGTCTGTGATATTACATGTCATATGTATCCCCTTAGCAACACAATGGCGTAGCAGTATAATAACCATCACCAGGAGCATGCCTGCATCCCATGGATCCATGTTGCAACAATTTTACATGTGAAACAAGGTCAGAGGAAGCAGGAAATAATCTGAACAGCTAATGAAAGGTCAGAGGTAAAAGGAAATTACCACATAACCTTGTTAGCTTCCTGGAAAAAAAAAAGCGTAAAAAACGCATCGTGCGTGTGCAGAAACCTGACCGGATCTGGTCTGCATTTGGTGTGAACAAGGCCTAAACATTTCTAGGGGGGCCTTTGCTGTCATTTTAAAGATACAGGTAAAGTTCCTCTTTAAACAAGAGGCTGGGAAGGGAAGTAGATGCACTGTCAAAACAATCTGGGTCTACTATACCGCACAATGCTGTTGATTTAACACTGGTAGCTTGTTTATAGGAAGAGAGCAGAGTGTGAGGACTGACGCTCAATTGTCCAATCAGCTGACAGCTAAGTGATCAAGCCATGCTGCTCAAAGTTATTGAAAGTAAGCTCATCTTCCTTGTTGGATTTCTGACAGAACCACCAGATCCTGTTATGAACTACCAGCATTTTTCAAGAGACAAAACGGGGGGAAAATGTGCATCCACTTTAAAAGTTGTACAGTAGGTTTTCTTTTCCCCAGGCATACTCCAAGTCAGGGGTCAAAATTTCAAGTCCTAAGCTACTAGCCAGGCCTTAGGGGTTACTCGCCACCAGTTGCCCACCTAACCCCTACCCTGCCCCGGCCTTAACTCTGCCCCTAAACACACCCGCTTAAATAATCTTATAAATTACACTGTTAGATGCTTTATGCAAAATAAACTTAAAAATTAAATATTAACAACTTTAACAATATTACCATAAAAGGTCCCTGCCCCCACATATAAAATAATACACTCTCTGCCCTGTTCCATGCACCCCCAAATATAAAATATTACACTCTCCCCCCTGTTCCCTGCCCCCTCACACATAAAATAAGAAGCCCCCCTGTTCACCCCCCCCAAAAAAAGAAGCCCCCTGTCCCCCACCATGTAAAGTAAAACAAAGAAGCCCCCTCACCTGCTTTCTTTTTCTGCAGGGAGGAGGCGAGCAGGCAGATCCCTGGTGATCTGGTGTGATTAGTAAGGTCTGCAGACATTGCTAATCACTCCATTTTTCAACCCGGAGCTCAGTGAAGAGCTGCGGCTGACAGAACAGAGAGCCAAGCAGGAGCAGCTGCTCCCACTAGTCAGGTACTGACTCAAGCCTGACTGAATTTCCACTCGCCTGCACTGCATTTCCACTCGCCAAATGCGAGCAGGCGAGTGGAAATTTTGAGCCCTGCTCTAAGTCAAAGGTGAGGGAAATACAAAAACTAAAGTTCAGAAAGATTACATACTTTTGATTCAACGGACTCCTCTGCAGGCTCAGCGTAACCATCTGCAATAAGTAAATCTCTTATGCTGACTTCCTCAAGATTTTCCAAGTAGCGGTAAACTTCAACATGTAGAATGTTATGTACAATAGAGAAGACTTTCACAACAAGGGCAGCACCACTAACTAAGGAGTTAAACTTCATGCTGGCTTCACGAGTCCATTGCTCTCCACAGATAATTGACTTTGCAGATGGGCGCATCTTACAGATCTTGAACTCCAGGGCCTGGAATATAAAATATATTTATTCAAAACAGGTGAATGCAGATTGTAAACCCTGATGGAATGATAATTTCAGTATATAGCACTGTATCGAACTGCCTCCATTTTTATTACTTCTAATTTTTTCATCCTTCCTTGGTAACTCCATGCAGCTGGATGGCATTTCTAGGGTGGCAGTTGTTACTTAACAGTGACAGCAGTGGACTGTGCCTTTTAATTTATGCTAAAATGACCACTTATTTGCAACATAGGAGCACAGCTGCATGGGACAGAGCATTGTGAACCTATAACAGGAAATGCCTGAAAAAGGCCCTGATGGCAGGATCAACAGGTTTTAATGAAAGCTGTATATTTCAAAATACTGAATATACTATTGAAATCACTTTAACATTAAAGATGAGATTTTAGTGATTCGGTTTATGCATGATAAATGGACAGCAGCTCCCATGAGGAAAATGAAAGCCATTGCTCACACATCTGGAAATCATGGAAGACATTTTATAATTAAGAAAAACATCTTTTCATGGTTATCTAAACAAAGCTAATTTTTTCAAGTGACACAAAATTCAGGAGTTAAATCTTAAAATTGCATTCAAGTCCCTTAACTATGATATTTGCGTATCACTCAGCCGTAGATCCTCAAATCATCTCTGAATTGGTGCCGACACTGTCCTTCCTTCTGGAGGGTGGCTACTTTTATTCCTCATGGTCCCTGTGTGTGTGGTAAAGTAGTCACCGCTCCAAGCTCACTCCAGTGATGGACTACAATCTCAATTACAAAAACATGAGATTATAGTCCGTCACAAGAGTGAGCTTGGAGTGGTGACTACTTTATAACACACACAGGGACCATGGGGAACAAAAGTAGCCCCCCTCCAGAAGGAAGGACAGTGTCAGCACCAATTCAGAGATGATTTGAGGATCTACAGCTGAGCGATACACAAATAACATCGGGTGCTTGAATGCACTTTTAAGATTTAACGCCTGAGTTTAGTGTCACTTTAAAGGTTTTATAATTATGGAAACGTTTTTTGTACACTAAATATGCACAGAATGCACAAAAATGTCTCGCTCATGTAACTGGCTAATTTAATTGCTTTCCCAGCAGTTTTTCTCCTATTACAAAACGGAAATGAAGATGCAAGAGAAATGCAAGTATACCATGGTTTTAATATAGCAGGACAAATGAGTAAGTAATTAAGGTTGCCAACTCCCATACAATGTACCACAGCCATGTATTGTTACTCAACAAAGCACCTGAAAGAACTCTAGTCCAAACAAAATTGTCACTATAGATTTTAATGTCCGACAATAAAAAAGGTGTTTGGATCTGTTGAGCATATGCTCCTGAGTGAAAGCCCAACGCTTCTGTAAAATGTCATGCTCATTTTAGGGAAAAATATCTACATATATATTAAATATCACAAAACGTAAAATAACCTGACCTGAAAAGGAATATCCAGAAAATGGCTGGGTACTTCCCTCAAAGAACTCAATTCAACTTTTGACTGGTTACCATAGTCCACAAAAAACACCTAATGAAGAAAAAAAAAATGGACCAAAATTACCCATGAAGTACATATAATGAAAGGTATCACCAAAATTCACAAACGTTTAAAATGTTGGTAAGAGAGCACAATGCTTTTAGGATACTGTAAAGATGTATATTCTGAGAAATAGCTATTCAGGTTATTTTGAGGATGTGGTAAGGACCCCAAAATGTATAAATGGCAGCAGAAGACTTCAGTCATACCCAATCGTGTGTCCTGTTCCTATGAATAAAGATTTCTCGTCATCCATTGCACCTTGGCTTTTGTTTTATTTACTGTTGGATCATATTCTTGGAGATACAAGTCTGCAAAGATTGACACGAGGGTGAGCTCTGACCAATCTGGATGAGCCTGTTCCCTTTTACTAACTTATAACACCCTATAGTGTCATCTTTCAGAGTCGGGGACAGCAACGTTGGGACATGAACCACTCCTGAAAAAATGTCTGAGCAATTTTTAATCAAGGCACCTCTAGAAGAATCCAACGACCGTAAACTCTGGAATAAACTTTTCCAAAGCCTGTTAAAATGAAAAAGGGCAGGAGCATGGGAAGATGATCCAAGTATGCATTGCAGTATCATAGCTTTAACAGCCAAGCTCCTGAGATTCCAATGTAGACTGCACTTTCAGATGAACATTTGGCCACTGGCTTGAAATCACAGGTATGGTTTATCAGGGTCATCCTGCTTTCTCCAATCAGCAACGTGAGGATGTATTCTGGACCACACACTACTGATCAAAGCAAACCAATTCTTAAAAGAAAACACAGGGCTGCCATTGCTGACCTCAATGAAATTGGTAGCCTCCTGGCCATCTATATTACTTCGAGTCACTGGACTGATACACAGTATCAGTACAGTATAAGTATGGAGATCAGGAACATTGTGAAAAGTAACATGTCCTTATCTGCATACTCGTTTCAGGTAAAAGGACATCATATAAAACATATCTGCCATCTCTGAAAAATACAACGTTATTATACTGATAACAGCGACTGATTTTGTTCATCAGAAATACACCCACAACTGCATTCAGGTTTATCTGTCTGGAACTTACCACTGCATCTTTTCCAGATATGTACAATATCTGGGCTCTGTAGTACTTTGAAATGTCATAATTTTTAAACGGTGCCAAGCAAATGCGATCCGGGTGAGAATGCATAGAGAGAGGCATTAGCTCCCGCTGGTTAATATCTACAGCTAGGCGTCCAAGCACATTAGAGTTTCGATCGTCAATACGATAACCCCAGAAATGTCCGACTTCAACCACCTGGACAGACAGAAGAAAGCCGACAGCTTTTAAGACAAATCAAATCTCTTATTTATAATAGTCAGCAGTGAGACAATAAAATAAAAAAAAAGGGAAAAAGAAAAAGAAAAAAAAAACAAAGCAAAAATAAATAAATATACTTTATTTTGAAAGACTTACCTCAGTAACATTGATAGACAAAATGGGCCCGTCAATGATCCCCGACGGTTCTTTGCTGGTCTGAGAAACATGGAGTGGTTCGACCGTCTCCTTGTGAAAGTCCACGACAACTCTTTAAAAATTGGAAAAAATTAAATATACACTTGGACACCCTGTCACGATCATTAAAGGCCAAAAGACACAACTGCGCAACTGATTAATAAATAGGCCATATACTTCCCTTTTACAGTGACCAATGTGGAGAAACTTCGGTGTTTCGCTTATCCCTGGCCAATGTAAGTAGCTGACATTTCCAGGGCCGTCAAACACCGGCTCCCCTGCTAAATGTTATGGTTCTTCCTGACAGAGGAACCACAAAATGCAATATATAGATCTATTAACCCTCAGCAACACCAACTCAAGTGATGAGTAAAGGTGCCCATACACTGCACGATTCTCGTACAAGAATCGCGGGAAATCCCGCGATCGTACGAGAATCGTGCAGTGTATGGAAGGCATGCGACCGTTTCTACTGTACGGTCGCACGTCTTCCATCGAACCAGCATGTTTGAAAATCCGCCGGGAATCGTACGATTCTCGGCGAGTTGGTGGCCTGCCGGTTCGACAACTGCCGAACGGGCCGGTGTGCGCACGCGCACACTGCCCGTTTGCAGTCAGCGTAAGCCCGTCCCTCATTACAGTCATCACAAGCCCGCCCCTCAGGGGGCGTGGCTTGCGATGATCGAGAGTGCGATCTGCCTGTCCAAGATGGGCAGATCGTACGGTTTTTTAATCCCTTTACAACCATCGCAAGACTAAGGTCTTGCGATGGTTGTACAGTGTATGGCCACCTTAAGACAGTTCTGAGCTCACCCCTTCAATAATAAATCAGCAATGGCAGCCTCCATATTTCTATTATGAAGAGGCTCTTTTTAAACAAGACAATGCCTCCTTCTAATTGTTCATTTTATATTCTCCAATACTTTGCCCATCCATATGGGTGTGCTATTAAAAGAAAAGCTTTTGTGAATACAACACAATTGCTGATGTGTGTTGTATTCACAAAACCTGAACCGTGGAATCGTCTTGTTCTTACACGGGTCCTTCCAGCCTCTCTCCCACTCCTCTGCAGCGGGCTAAGCTCCTGTAAATCGGGTTCTATACACTGTGAATAGATGTAGGGCTGGCGCTAATGATTATTTTCATAATTAGTTGCCCGATTATTCTTTCAACTAAATCGATTGGTTGCAGTGGAAAAAAATAGTTGCCAACTATTCTCATAAATCGACTCTTTGTTGCAGCCCTAAATAATTGCGAGGACGATGAATATTTCAATGCTGCAGCGTAAGGGGAGAGAGGCTGGGGGGAACGCTGTGACAGCTGGCCGGCTAAGAGCTTCGGTGAGTATAACTTTGTTATATTTGAACCTGGACAAAAACGAGCACTTAACCCTCCCAGAGAAGGGGTAGCCCCACTGCAATGCTAAATGAAATATTTTTCCTGGCGTTCTTTACCCAATATCAATTCTACGCCACCCCCCTATAAAGCTCTCTCCCCCCCTACCATAAACATGATACTCTAATTAGCCTAAATAATGAAGTAAGAAGAGTCCTGTTATCAGGTAAGGTTGCACTCTCCCTGCAGTACTGAGTGGGAGTTGAATGTCCACCCTCCACACATGACCTACAAACTAATTGGCTGATGAACTTGGGATTCTGCACCATCCAAAAAGCAAATGGAGCAAACAGTCTTTACCCTTAGCTACATTCGTAATGGCTATAGATTTTTTTTGTATTTAAGAGACCACCAGACCCCTCTAGAAACATGTCCAATATACATTACCTGGTTAATTTTAAGTCAGTGATGTCTTTAGAAGTTTCCTCAATTGCCCCGACAGAATGGACATTTAATGTAAGGGGAACTTTCATCTGTGCCATCTTAACTGCCAGATGAACCGCTGAGAGAGTCTTAAACCTCTCTGTGGGATTGCGAGAGAACTCTACAAATGCTCTAAGAAGAAACAAGCAAGAATTTATTAGAAAACAATTTTCAATGAACCGAATAGATATTTACAGCAGCACATCCAAAGCCTCTGCCCAGGTACTGTTATGATCCCTAGGTCACCTCTGACCATCAAAGATGACCCACTACAACTTCTCACACATGAAATTGCCTTCTTACATCTTCTTGGCAAACGGGAAACAGGCAAAGCTCTCATTATATGTCTCAAAAGCAGACACTTTTGACAAAACCATAGAACATTGGCAAAGTTTAGTTTGTTAGGAGAGAATAATAGGGTTTTTGTACTGTAGAATCCTTTTCTCTGTATTCGTTGACGGACACAGCAGAGATCTGAAGAGCTTGATTATTGGGTTATAGTACCACCTTCAGGAGTAGGACAAAAGCCCAACTGCTAAAGCAGCCCAGTTAAAAACAAACGACTGTACTACAAAAAGCAACAACTGGTCACAGTCATAAAAACCAAAAGGATGTGTGCTCGGTTCTTTAATGAACGCAGAGAAAAAGGATTTGAGTACAGTACAGGACACAAGCAAATTCATAGGCAACTGGGTAATATGCAAGTATCATCCGGTGATTGGAAACTGGCCAGAGCTGCGAGGACCCTCATATAACCCCTTCCACTGCAGGGAATCATCTTTTTTAGCAAGCAATAGTGGACACAGAGGGGAGGGTGCTGTGTCCAGTACTGTACGCCTCATGCAGCTACCTCATGCCTAAAAGCCCAAGAGACAATGACAGATCTAGTGGAATGAGCCTTTACAGGGAAAGGCAGGGTCCTACCCATGAAAGAGTAAGCATACACAATGACCTGTCTAAACCACCTAGAAATGGTGAATTAGGAAAGGACAAATAATCTGATCGTTGGAAAGAAGCTGTAACCGAAAAACTCTGACAACCCTAACCACACCAAAAACAGGAACAGAGCTTTGGCAGTTCCGGGAGGTGATGGCTACAAGGAACACAACCTTGCAAATAAGATCTGTAGCAAGATATCCCAAATAGTCCAAGAGACCTCAATCCTTCAGGACAGGGGCTTCAACAACCAAGCCATCAAAGGCTAGCAGCCAAGAAGCAGGATGTCACACCTGACTTTGGGACAGAAAATTCTCATGATCTGGAAGGGGCTATGGAATGTTCACTAGCATCCTGACAATGTCCGCATACCAATCCTTTTGGCCATTATGGAGCCTCAACTTTCCCATGCTTGAGCAATCCAGGAAGGCCCTATATGGCTCCCAATGTGCTACAATGCAGGCGTCTGCTGAGGATCACAATAAGGCCTTAGGTGCCCACAGTAATACCTGACACACTGCTTCTTTTGCATGAGCCATGTAAGGCAGGGTTGCAAAAACACCTTAAAGTGCAGCAAGATTCAAAAAATTTAAAGGGCCAGCGTAACTGTGTACCAATTAGCTGGAGGCTACACGTGCCAAAAAGGTCTGGGAGTCCCAATGTGGCCACAGGCGGCCAAAGCCCCAAAGACCTCCACCGATGCCCACGCTGCCTCAAGACCAAAATGCAAACCCCAGCATGGTCGCTGCACACCACACAGCCAGCAGAGGAGGAAGAGGCCCAGTTAACCAAGGGTGAGCATCTCAGGATGCAGCAGGTTTCTATCTGGTGTGGTCGGGGAAGAGTCCCCAAAGCATTGTGCTGGACACAATGAGGGTAAACTTGATTAAAGAATCACAGGAAGAAATGTGAGGGAAAAAAAAAGTAATCAGAAAACAACGTCTCCCTTCAGTAGAGAGGAGACTTATGGCAGTGATATCTGCACATTACCCGATTATCTCTGAACCTCCGTGTGCTGTACTAAAAAGGATCAAGAAAGAACTTGCAGTGCCAGCAAAAATCAGTGTTGGTCTTTAAATCAATACCCGTGTTCAACTGTCACTCAATACCTGTGTCTGAATTCTGTCATGCCCTATACAGGGCGATAATTGACAGCACTTTTATTAGCTTTCAAGGCCAGTCTTTAATGCTGATCCATTTTCTTCCCACTTCATATCAAGAGAATTATTATCATTTTGGCACATGTTAAAAATCTGAATTTTTGGCTAGAAAGCTGCTTAACCTCTTGCCGTCCGCCCGTAGTAGAAAAACGGACGGACGGCACTGCAGCATCTGCGGGTTGCCGTCTCCAGACGGCAATTTTTTTCTGCTCGCGCGCGCCCCCTAGCGGGCACGCACGGGCAGAAAAGTCCCGATCAATGCACACACCCGTTACCGGGTGTTACACATATAACCAAATAATTATATATCTTTTGAAAGCTGTAGAAAAAAAAAAAAGCTATTTAAAAAATTTATGTTGTACAATATTTGCGAAAATGTTTGTCAAATCTATGTTTTTAGGGGGGGGAAATGCACCAACATTTATGGGTAGGGTTGCGTTAGGTAAATTGATGCCAAAATGTCAAGCCTTAACATTGTGAGCACCTGTGAAATGGCAAAAAAAACGACAGCACTAACATTTGCTCATAGGCAACACTTTAAAAGCCTTTACTGTTCATCAATTTAGAGCCAACAGTGAGTGCTAGCCCTAAAATTATTGCTCTCAATCAAATGTTAGCATTTGGAGACATCAGGGGTTCATTATAGAGCTGAAGCTAACGATTATTTTCAAAATCGATTAGTTAGCCGATTATTAAGTTCGATTAATCGGTTAATCGGATAAACAATAAACATTTTTTTAAAAATGGCTCCTGTGATGGGACTACTAGTTTGTATTGAGATTGTAGTCCATCACAGGAGCAAGCTTGGAGCGGTGGAAAAAAATAGTGTGGTGTGCAATATAGTGAAAAGGAAAGTGTAAAATTATACAGCAATGAATGCAGAATTGCACCGGCTATAGAGGACTACAAATCCCAGCAATAGTACATTATACAGCGCAATGCAGAATATCACCAGCTATATAGGAATACAACAAATCCCAGCAATACATTATACATACAGTGTATAATGTATTCCTGGATGTGTATTCCTATGTATAATATACAGCACAATGTACCATAAGCTATAGAGGAATACAAATCCCAGCAATACATTATAGAGCACCATGTGGGGGGCAGGGAAGTGCAGGCTTACCTGAGCAGTCTTCCAGCAACTTGCTTCTGAGATCGGACCTGTCTATCAGTGGCTGTCATCCACGTGAGGTGGGGAAGAGGTGCGGCGCGCAGTGTGTGTGGAGCCGTGAACAGGGCCAACTGATCGGAAGCCGGTTAATCGATTATTGAAAAAGTTGACAACTTTTTCAATAATCGATTATAATCGATTATGTCGATTAGTTGTTGCAGCCCTAGTTCATTAGACTCCTAATGTCACCTATGGACCCAACAGAAGCTAATGAAACACAGATCATGCTTCAACAGCTTATTCTCTGGCCATAGCAGCTGGAGGAATGATGGCCTAAGGCCCCCATTCACACTGAGCAATTTATTGCGGATATTTACCCCCCGATATCGCTCTCCGATGCATGGCAATGGGGCTCTGTCAGTCGCTGTCGCGGGTCGTGCGTCGCTACAGCAGGACCCTTTTTGGAGCGGATTTTGACGCGATTCTAGTTTACTCAATGCAACCATTTGCGCGACAAAGCGCGCAAAATATGCGCGATTTGCGAATCGCTCAGTGTGAATGGGGCCTAAAATTGGAAGTGAATAATTCATTGTCGCTTACGAGTTCAGCACGCAGAGGAGCGATTAGCTGCTGGAAGTGTTCTGGTCTACCGCCAATCAAGCTGCACACATCCAATGTACTTGTTCTAGGTCTGCACGAGGGAGTGTGGAGCCCAGGACAGCCGGCAGCGGCACTATTTTCAGCAACATACAAGCACTACATCTGCCCGATCACTAGTATGTGAAAGCTGGGTACTGGCTACTAACTGCCATAGCAAGATTACAGCTGCAGCAGCAGCCGCCGCCATGGACTTGTTTTAGAGAAGTGAGCGAGCGACGGTAATGTGTTCACTCACTTTCCAATCTATTGAGCCAACGTGTGACCGCTTCATTGTCACACGTTGGCTCGAACTATGAGGATGAGTGATTTTCACTCACCTATAGATCTCCTTTAATTTAACTAGCATTGCCAAGTGGTTAGTAATCAAAGCCTTCAAAGCTATTTTTTTAACAAGGTGAACAAAACATGCAACAGGCCATTTCTATAAAAGTAGCAAATATCTCAAACGGTAGTCTAAAAAAATAAAACCACTTTATAGTAATTTCTCCTCCAGCTACATTATTGCTTACCTTTGTCCATCAAATAAAATAGATTTTACTTGGCCGCACTGTCTGAAGAGAGACTGAATCTGCTTGTGGTAAAGAAATCCATATGGTGGGACATGCTTCAGCTGCTCATGGAAATAAAAGTAAGACAGAGCAAGAACAGGTAAAATCAAAAAGTAAAAAAGGCAATTATTAAAGTAATAACTTACCTTCTTCAAAACCCTAGTGTCAATAAAAATTACATATGCAGAATTGTTTTTCTCACTTGTTTTCAATCTTCCGAATCCTACATACCCTTAGAATGACCATGGTCAAAATAATTTGTGCTTCACATACTTTTGGAACAGCGTTCATTAGAAATTAGGCTCATTTTTGTACTTGCCATAAGATCCTTTTCCTGGAGTTCACTCAGGGACACAATCAAAATATTCAGGTTATACTGTTCCCCTACAGGAGGATTGGAGACTGGCAAACAAACTGCCCAAAGTATAACTCCTTTACTTTCAGCATGCCTCAGTTTAGCAGCAAAGCAGTAACAAGAACATGATTCTAAACAGAGCGGAGGGACTTGTGTCCCTCAATGCAATACAAGAAAATACTTTACTGCTGGTACAAAAAAAATCAAAATTTTCGGTCTCATCAATTGAGGGACAAAGGAAGTCTTTAACCTACAGGACACCAAAAAGCAGTCCAAGTGAAGGATGGATACAACAGCAAACAACCGCTGCCAGGCCCAACTAACAGGAACTCGGGGACTGAGGGACTGCCTGCATCTTAGAGGGTCACCTGAATGATCTTGCGCTTGAAACTGGCATCAGAGGAGACCAAAACATCCACCATGTGAAACTTGTGTGAACTGAAGATTAGGTTGCAACTTTGCAAACCTGAGAAAGAGAAGTCTGATGCGAAAACATACAAGGAGCACTCTCAGCCCTGGTAGAGTCTAGAATGGAAATGGGGAAACACGATCCTTGAAACCAAAAGATTTCATAATTGTCTGCCCACCGAGAAATGGTGGAACTAGGAGTCAGGGCACCGTTCTTTGGTCCATCCAGAAAGACAAAATGAGAATCTGCAGATTTAAGTAGTGGCATATACTGTAGATGTGCACAAACAGCTAAAGCTACATCTAAGCAGTGGTAGGAAATCTCCTTCTGGTGAACTGGAGCTGGACACAAAAAGGGAAGGACAACATCTTCATTAAAGAACTCCAGGGAAAAAAATGTAGTAATACTTGCTGTGGGGAATCAGAGCAGAGGGAGGGAGGTTTCTGGTTCAAAAGGGGGCTTCTAAAGCTCAAAGGACCAAATTCAAATCCAGTGTACGTAGAGGGGATTTGACCAGGGAACACATGGTAGACTCCATGCATACGTCTTGAATTAGAGAGTGGATAGCCAACAAATCCTGGAAAATAATGGCAAAAGCAAAGATCAGGCCCTTGATTGCACCAAGGACCAAAAAGTGTCCAGACCCAACTGTAGAAAAGAAAGGGTTCACCCCACTTAGAAATGTTTGGGCTAAAAGCCTATAGACCTACACTATGTGAAGAAAGCCTTCCATACTTGATGATGGACCTTGTAGGAAGTGTGCTTCCTACCTTTGAGCATCATAGGAATCACAGACTCAGAGATGCCCATGTACCTTAGAACTTGGGTTTCAACAGCCATGCTGAAAAAAGACAGCGACTAAGTAGCAGGGTGGAAAATCAATTCGGACAGTTTTGCAGAGCCCACTGAAAGAAGTCTAATTCAGCGTATTACTCTCTTCTGGGCCATGTCATTTTGTAAACAGATTGGAAAATCTAAAAGTGTCAGGATAATTTACTGTCTAGTCTTGATGTTGAAGCAATGTACATTATTATCAGACCAAATTTGGAACCAAAAGCTTGTGAATACTTCTGAAGGACACTAGGTGAAGATTTTCAAAAGACAAATCTGTCTTGGAACTACTGTAATTTATACTTGAACATAACTACTTTCTGCTCGATGAGGAGATTTACAATAGTTGGAACACCAAGTTCCTCCACATATGCGATTTAAAGGGATGGTGGTGGTGGGGGGCAGAGCGCTTTTCAATGACAAAATGCAGAAGTATACAACAAACATTTTAATGTGGACTAGATTTATAGATAGTGTTCATCTTCTGGAATGTGACAAAAGTTGAATCTGAGAGGGTTAAGGAAAATTGTAAATGTAAATGCAATAGGGATGTATGGTCAGTGTTGTTGGACGTCAATGCTTTAACCGAGATAATGAACCAGAGTTTCAGTGTGACGTAGCGAGGGGCAAAAAAAAAAATCTTGGAAACATCCTTGTCGCAGTAATCTAGCAATAGTAGAAGCAACAGTTACAGTACGATCATGGTTACAAAGATGATGTGGCCACTGTCAAGCAAACCCATTCTTACTCAAAATATAGGGGGGGGGGGGGGGGAGGGGAAACAGTTATCCTTTTTAATGTCACTTTAAGTCTGAGATTACAATGGGGTAATTTATGTGGCAAGCTGTAACACTATCAAGCAATTAAGGAGAAGAAACGCTGAACACGTCAATAATGTATTCTTAAAGAGAAATAGTAGCAAGATATGTCTGGGCCAATCATGCAAGAAAACCAGAAAACTGCACCAAATGAAATAAGATCTTGACAAAATGTTGCTTCAAAATGCACACAGTAGCATTTTTAACTACACAACTCCCATATTAGGTCCCGTCTGTACCGGACTACAACTGCGGTCTCAATGGACACAGCAGACCTCACAATGTATAAGGAATGAGGGAGCTTTTTAAGGGGCAATGCGACATTTCAAGAAACTTGTTTCAAACAGCTGCCAAATCTGAAAAAGACAGTGCTCCTTCCAAGATAATTCTAACTCTGTCCTAAATTCGCACTTCTCATTCTTGCATAATAGGGATAATTATTCAAGCATCAATAGTACAAGGTGGCCCAAGCTGCTGGCCCCATTACATACCACAACTGTAGTCTTTGGATCCTTGCCTCCCACTTCTCGAATAGCAGACTCCTGATCTGAAGAGCCAAATGCAAAATAATTTGGGTAGAACGACCCTGCCATAACGACCTGAAAAATATTACATCACAATACAACATATTAAAGCAGTGATTGACCAAAGAATGATGATTAAAGCACTTTTACAGCACATTATGGGAAGGAGAAAAGAGCACAAAGGCAAAGTGCAGACGGGTTGGTTTTTTTTTTGCTGGTTAACTGCACTGATGAAAAAATGCACAAAGGATACCAAGATTCAAGTTAGAATACCTTATATTTGGTAATATTTGTTCATCCGAGAATTCAGTTTTACTATTCCGTAAACCTTATATCCTTTCACTCTATGTGGCATTATTACTTTTCTGAATACTCTTCTGTATCAAGGGAGGAGAGAAAAAAAAGGTTTGGGACCCCTAGGTTTAGCACAATGGTTAAGGTATCTCTTGCCTTGCAGTGTTCGGGATCAGAGATTTTTTTTATACCCCTCTACTTGTCTCCCAAATACAGACCCAAGTTTACAGTGAACGCTCCAGTCACTTTTTATAAATCAATCTAACACGCTTGCTAGTTCCCAAATAGCCAGCTAAACTGCTGCTATGGTAAGTTTTTATGTATGTGTAACTAAAGTGGTTACATTAGACTGTAAACTCAATTAAGGGCTGATGTAAATGGTTAAATGTTCTCTGTAAGACACCATGGAATACTCTGCTGTTATATGATAGAGGCCAATGAAATTAAGGAACATACTACTCGGAACTAAAAAAAAAAAAAAATCTTTTATCAAAAACTTCAGATGCAGCTATAGACCTGGAGAATGAAGCGCTGCTTGTGTTTGTAGTTTGGATCCCCGCTTGTTCGTTCACCAACATGCATGTTGAAACGGGCAACTCGCTTTTTTAGCTCATCATACAAGGCAGCCACCTGGAAAAAAAAGCCAAAAAGTATTTACAGAACGATAATGGTAGACATTTCTTTCTATCTGCAAAGCTCCCAAGTCATTGGGATATCTGAGCACACCTAATCAATTAAAAACTTGCCAAATAATTACATGTACTTGTGTGATGGCAGGCATGAAGTCTTCCTATGCACAAATGCAATATGCTTTCACTATCATAACACAACTAGAACTACATGTGCAAGTTCCTAGTTAAACACTCACCTCTCTTATTCTTTTGATCTGAAGGTAATTTGATTTGCCCCATTCCATCTCATCCTAGAAAGAGTAAATACCAGATTTGCATATTGCATTAGCAAAACACTTTTTTACTTATCAACTTTTTGGGGAAAAAACAAAGTACTCCATTTTAACAAAAGGAATGGACTATTAAAATGATGAATGCATAAAACCATCACATTCCAGAAATGCAATAAGGTGGTCTATGGGTGAAGAAGGGACACAGGTTGCAGCGTAAACTTGATAACAGGATTTTTGTCTTACTGTAATAATCCATTTCATCACAGGACACAGGGAGTCAGTTCAATAGATGGGTTATGCAGCAACCTTGAGGTGACGAAACACTGACAAATTAATGGAAGCTGTAGGATAGCCTTGTAAAGCGGATCACAAGAAGTGAAAAAAAGGGGAAAGTCTTGTGATGTACTCTAAAAAACAGAGTTTACAGACAAGACAAAAATCCTCTTTTTCATTATGCAAGGATTCCCCTTACGTACATCACAGGACACAGGGAGTTAATTCAGGACTCAATAGGACTTCCAAAAGCAGTGCAACAAAGCAAACAATGGCTAACAGGCCAGTAAAAACAACTAACCAATAGGGAACAATAACAGAATGGGCCCATACAAGAGAGGTCAATGGACCAGGAAGGGAAGGATATGCTAAGGGGTTACACGAAGAATAGGACCACAAAATTGAGGGGGGAGTAGAATAGAGAAAATAGGGGAGTAACAATAGTCAATATATTTGTCTATAAGACATCTTAGTAGAACACATGGAAAATAGACACTAAAGAGGAGTAGAAAGAAGTTTGTAAAATGGAGAGGTGGATGGGGAGATATTTTTTCACAGGGGTGTTAGGGGGAGGAATAATATAAAGAGGACTACAAAAGGTGGTCCTTCCCCCATCCCTCCAGAAGAAGAATGGAAAGATTGGATTAAATGATAAGAAAAGGGGATGGAGATTTGGCAAGAATTTCTGTGAGCGGAAGATGTATGATGTATATGCGGGTTTTGTATTTAATATTTGTTATATAAAATGTATTGTATAAATTATATTAAATTGAAGTGCAATAAAAATATATTAAACAAAAAAAACAGAATGGGCCCAACATCAAAGGGCCGCCTAAAGAACTTTGCGCCTAAAGTTAGCGTCCGCAGAGGGCTGAACACCCCATCTGGAAATACTGACAAAAGTGTGACCAGAGAACAAGCTGGTAGATTTGGGAAATTGAACGAAGATTCCAAAAGGCACAAGAAGTACCAACGATTCTGGTAGATTGAGCCCTAACCCAAGACGGAACTTTACCCATCAACTCAGTTTGCCGAACCCACCTTATAGTAGAGCAAGAAGTTAGCTGACCCATGCAGGGAGTCTGAAGAATGGTGACGTAGGCAGACTTGCAGACGGAAGCTGTAGCATAAAGATAAACCCAACAGCTCGAACCACAACCAAACAGGACAGAGATTTATTTGGGATGCTTCAGTGCAGGAAGGAAGATAAAACAATGTCCCAGTTCGACAGATGGAAAGAGATCATTTTAAAAAGAAAGGAGGCCTTAAGTCTCAGAACTACCTCATCTTTGTGGAAAAACAGAAAAGGCTCTTTTCAAGTGAAGGCCGCCAATTCAGAGACAAGCCTAGCAAAGATGATTAAAACGTAGAAGGAAACCTTTCTGGTAAGTAGGGTCATAGGGATATCTCAGAGGTTCAAAAGCAGGCTTCTGCAACAAAACTAAGTTGAGCTCCCATTGAGTCACCAGAGTACAGGGGGAACTCTGAGCAGCCCCCCGCGGCACAAAAGCCTTCACAAGAGTGGGAAATAAGGTACCTTTGGAAAAAAGATGCCAAAAAGTAATTTGACCCTCGATGACACTGCAGGCTAAAACACATGTCTATGGTAAAGTCAAGGAAATATAACATAAGCCTCAAAAAAGGAAAAAAAAAAATGCCTCCTAGATGCAATGGTAGACCTTGTGAGAAGTCGACTTCCAAGCTTTTTAACAACATAAGGATTTCAGATTCTGAAAGTTTTTCTGTCCTTAAAGACCTAGGCTTCGAAAGCTATGCAGCTAAAGCCAGCAACCAAGCAGGGTGGAATAGTAATAGACATAAATGCGCGAAATCCACGCTTATGTATAAAGTTGCAATTTTTGTGTGGAAAATGCAAACGCCATATGCGAATGGAGCCTAAGGCAAGTGATGCAAAAAAAAATACATGTCCCCTTTTTGAGTGAAGCAGCATAACCAGTGCACTGGTACTATAAAAATGTGTTGGGTGCCATCCACAATGAATGTCACCACAACACAGCACCCAGCGTGTGTTGGCATTCACAGCTAAAACGTGTGAGTTGCAGAAATTCCCTTAAATACTAATTTCTAAAATAAAAAAAGGCTTATGTGCACTACAAATTGTGTGTTGAAGTTGAATTTATTGTACACACCTTAGGCTGTCTTAGATCACCTCTCTCTTTGCAATCCTGCCAAAACTGGAGGGGAAAAAAAAACAACAGATTAGTTTTACTTGGCTTTAGGGAATGAAGATGAATTTGACATAATTACTAGTGTATTAAAGAGTAATTGTAAAAGAAAAACAAAAAAAAAAAAAACAGTTTGCTTGTTTCTGCTCCCTCTTTTAACTTCCATCACTTTTAGGTTATATGTGCTATCCTAGCACAACCAAAACTTTGGAATTTCATGGGGAAAAATCAAAATCAATTTCCAATTTTTGCTATAAACACCTATAAAGTAATCAAAGCTGTAAACCTACCCGAAAAGCATTGACCAGAGCTATGCAATCACTCCTACTATTACCAGCATAACTAAGTTTGCTCCTGTGAAAGAAAAGAAACCATAAACTACATTAATAAAAAACGCTCACAACTTCCAATATCAACTACAGTGGGGGGAGGGAGAGAGAGAGAATGTGTGTAAAAAGCGATATAGAAATTACCTGTATCCATCAAGGTGCTGTCTAAAGGGCATCGCAAAGAAGTTTCTTAGTGAAAGAGCTGAAGCTTTTAAAGAAGAATAGAGGACGACATCAAACATTTGGAATTAAAGGGGCACACAAAAATAAAAAATCACAGAGACCAAAATCGGTAGAAATTTGATTTGATTTCTTGCTCCAATTCAAGGACAGGGAAAATGTATAACCTAAGCCTTGCATTGTGGCTACCCCAGTACTAAATGAGTTAAGTGCTCATTTTGGTCTAGGGAGGAAATATCCTTATACAACTGGTTTGCTCATAGACTGGTCCTTGGAGCCTCTATCCCCCTTAAGTGAAGCGGTCTTTAAGTCATCAAGTTCTATATACACTGTGTGTAGGGCATGAGGACGCCGAGGGGCATACCATTGCAGTTAAGGTGACAGGCTGGAGCGCTGTCACAGCCAGCCAGTTCTGAAGAACGGTTGAATATAATTTTAGTATTTTCCTTTCTAGACCAAAAAGAGTACTTAAAAAGGAGAATTTTAGGGCGAGTGAAAAACACTTATCCCCATAATTCAAGCCGAGTTGTGACACTGAAACTGTCACAGGTCGGCATCTACTTATCGGGAAGTCAGCGAACACATACCACGACTTCCCGATCCTCTCCCTGCAGAGAATGGCGACTGCAAGTCACTGCTTCCCACAGGGACTCCCCTCTGTTTCTCCAGTACTGACTGGAGGAACGGATAGGGGAAGGCACAGCTGGCTCTGTCTCTAGAGTCAATCATCCAGCGGGGTGAATCTTGACAGTATTGGCGGGATCCATCCCGGGCTGTGGCACAGCTCTGCGCTCTCCGCATAGAATAGCCCGATAAATACTGGGTGTTACATTTGTATATGTCCTCCTGAGACCCTCAAGAGAACTATGGCCAAAAAAGGTTAAGCCTTAGTTTTCTTTTACCCAGAAAAACAAAAAACACAGTTCTGCTTTAAATGACCATCACTATCAACCCCTAGATAACAGTCCATGTTTCAGACACCATGCACTGTGGTTGTTCCTCAGCATCAAGGTTTTTGAAGTTATGGGGGCCCATAGAATAAAATATGCTAAGGGGCTACCTGCATTAACTTATCCTGCAGTTACTGGTACCAATAACCGCATTGTGATTATGATTCTTGATTTTTAAGGTAAGAGATGGAATATGACAGGATTGGTTTAAAGTAAACCTGCCAAAAACCCGGAAAGTTTAAACTGAACGCAACATGAACCTAAGCATAAAGCAGAAGTTGCCTCCAAAAATAAAATAAGACATTACAATGTTCACTAGATCAGGGATATAAAAGTCAAGATTTTATTCTTGACTTTTGATGTAAATACACCAACTCCCTCTTATTGGTCCCTTAAAGCATGGACAGCCTAACCAAGAGAGTCTCAGGACATACAGATCAAGGCCAAGATTACCAGGAACATTTTTTCATATAACTTCAGCTATGATCCAGTGAGCATTTGATATACTTTTTGTTTTTTTTTTGAATGGTGCCCTTTGCCAAAGTTTTTTTTTCCTTACTCTACGTCAGAAATGCCCGGACTTGTGACAGAGCTACTTTAATGCTCTAGTTGCTAACAGGCAAAAAATTACAATTGAATTAAATATAGAAAGCCAAGTTTCAGTAAATCTAAACAAAAATAAATTCAGTATCTCAGAACACATATAGGATTAAAATCTCAAACAATGAAATCTTTTTCCAGAGTTGGTCTCTAAGTTAAACAAAAAATATATATATGTAGAGAGAAAACACTGGTACTACCATCTAACATGAATATAAAATTGACAATAATTTGAGGTAACATTTGCATTAAGCGGAGGCACGTACCAATAATAAGACACTCATCCAAACATCCAAAAACATGGCCGAGGACGACGAGTTTTCCAAGCTGAAGATCAACAGGTAACTGAGCAAGAACTCTCCCCAAGAATGTGAGCTCTCCATCATATGGATTCTCTTCCTGCTTTCCACTTACTGCCAAAGCACCTACCTTCATAATGTAAAAACAAAAACATACCATACCTTTTAACAGAATATGCAAACACACTAATGGTATGTGGCTATGGGTTGTTCTGTTTGCACCAAAGTACACTTATTGCATACACTGAGCCATAGAAATAAGTTGGGCAAGAGCCAAAAGCTGAAGATTGTAGGAGACTATAGCAAGAGGACAACCGAGGAAGAGAGGTGAGTATACTGTCTTCTATTGCAGCGGGAGTGCTAGTTTTAAATCATTACAGACCTAATCAGGTCCCATCAATTGACTATCACATTGCTCTGTTGACTGCAAACACCCAGAACTAGTATGACCAGGTGTTCCGACTTTACCCTGGGATCTAGTCATGAGCGATATAGAAGTGAAGAAGCATCAATTTCTGCATTTCTTTGAGCAAAGTTGGCACACCTTCATCCACACTTTATAGAACTTTGAAACTAGCAGAAGCTTACCTTTGTGCACATCATAGATTACACATGTATAAATGACCTAGGACTACCCTTATTACAATCTTGCTCAAGATCTTTTTAAAGCAGAAACCAAAATGGCAAATCTTAATATTTCTGATTTTCTTATACTATTGTAATCACACTAGGGTTTTTTCCAAGCATATGCAAAGTTTAAACACTAAAAATTTCTCTTCATTAAAAAAAAAACAAAAAAAAACACATGACTTCCTGAACCACGACTAAAGGAAAATACTTCGTCATTGAAAGGTTGTCACAAATAATGCCAATCTCTTGGGATGATGGAGGGGTACTGGATCACAGGGTTGCTGGTCTCAAGAGGAATCCAAGCTACTTATCAATATCCTGAGGTTGTGGGCAATTTACCTGACATCGCAGTGGACCACCCATTGAATAATGCTATGGCAGTGACCTACATCAATCAGGGAGGTGCTAACAGCTTGTCAGCAGCCAGGAAAGTGTACCTAATCTTATTCTGGACTGAACTTTACATCCCAGTGATTTCTGCAAGGCACATTCCTGGAGTTGGGAACTGGCAGACAGACTTCCTCAGCACACAATGTCTGGATCCGGGCGAGTGGTATCTCCATCCAGAGGTATGTTATAGTCAGTGCTGGGGGATGCCAGATGTGGATCTAGCTTCTGTCACAACAAGAACGTGGAAAGATTTGTATCCAGTGTGAGGTAACCAACAAGCAGATGCGGTGGATGCCTTGGTAGCGCTGTAGGATCAGATGCATTCCTTTCCTCCACTGACACTGTTACCTTGCCTGCTTTGCTGGATGGGACATTAACCACCTCTGGGCCGGCCGTAGTAAAAAAACGGCCGGCCCGAGCTCTCTAGATCTGAGCGGGCGTCTTTAGACGTCCGCTCAGACACGCCCACCCCGCGGGAAACGGCCGAAATTTAAAAACAGGCAGCGATGCCTGTCACCATACAAGCGATCCTCCGGCAGTCTTTCTCGTTGCTCGAGATTGGCATCATAGACCGTGGTTGTCAAACAATCCTTGTCTTCTCCCGATCTTTTATCTCAAGGAACAATCTTCTACCCTGCTTCTCGGATGCTGGTTTAAACGGCCAGGCTGTTGAAACCCAAGTGTTTAAAAAGGCAGAGGAGTTTCAGAGTGATATTTTGACTTTGCTCAAGGCTCGAAGGTCGTTTACTTGTAAAATTTACCTCTGTGCATGCAAGATTTTTGTTGCATTGAGTCCTTAGGGTTTCCCTTGGGGGCTTTTTCTATATTGCAAATTCTGTCTATCCTTCAATTGGTGACACCCAAAGTTAAGCATTTTAATAAAATTAAGGGTCAGATATCTGTCCTTTTTCAATGTCCTCTAGCTGCTAATTCCTTGATTCATACTTTCACTCAGGAAGTTACACGTATTGTTCTACCCGTTAGGTCTCCTCTTCCTCCGTGGGACTTGAAATTGGTTTAATCCGTTTTACAAAAAAACGCTTTTTTAGCCTATTCAAGATATTTTTGTCTTCGTTGTTCAAAAAGGTTACCATTTTGGTGGCCATTACCTTGGCTAGAAGGGTTTCCGAGTTGCCTACTTCGACTAGTAGAAAAACACCATTTGGTTCTTTATAAGGGCAAGATTGTTTTAAGACTGAAGGTTTCCTTTCATCCCCAAGGTGGTTTGGCCTTTCATTTAAAATTGTTTTACCTTTGCTTTGTCTGGCTTATGATCATCCTAAGGAAATTTCTCTTCATTGCTGGGATGTTGTACGGGTTATCTGAGTTTATCTTTTATGCACAGCTTCCTTTAAATGTACAAATTCTTTGTTCTACCAGGTCCTAGAAAGATTGTTCAGCTTCGAGATCCACTATTTCTAAGTGGATTAGTCAGACTGTAATTCAAGCTTATGAGTTGCAGGATAAGTTGCCTCTCTTTCCTAATTCTACTAGAGTCATTAGTGCTTCTTGTGCCTTCCATAATCAGGCCTCCAATGCTCAAATTTGTAAAGCTGCAACATAGGTCTTCTTTTCACTTTCGCAGTTTTATAAAGCTGATGTTTCTCCATCCTCTGAAGTTAGTTTTGGCAGAAATGTTTTTCAGGTATCTGTTTAAGCATCTGTTTGACAGTTTTCTGGTGAGCTGTTTATTCTAATTATGGTGCCCACCCCTCTGTTTGGACTGCTTTTGGTCATCCCTACATCTCGGAATTCTTCAGAGCTGTGCCCTCAATGGACTATGGAGAAAATAGGACTTTGTCCTCAACATAAAATCCCTTTCTCAGAGTCTATTGACGGACACCGCTCCCTCCACTAATTTCCTTTTGTACTGCTTGCAACAACTGACTGGTGTGAGTGGTAATGAGTGGCAGGCTATTCATTTTTTGCCTAGTGTGCATTTCTCCTGAAGGCAGCAGTAAAACCCTACATCTCAGATTTCTTCAGAGCTGTGTCCCTCAATGGACTGCGAGAAAAGGATTTTACGATTAAAAAAACAACTATTTTTAGAGATACCATACCTGAACTACATTACTCACATAACACAATATAATAAAATATATCTAATTCAACACACAAAAGACAAAACACACAACAGACTTCCAAAATCACTAATAAAAAAGAAATCACTTCCAGCTAGGTACTTGACAGTACATGAATACAACAAACATTATGATTGAGGAATATAACACACAACCACTAATTCCTTAAATTTCAATTTATCCATCTATTCTTCACCCAGCATGTATCCTACTACAGAAATAGTACACGTCTCTTCCAGTGCACCTGCCAAAAACTGTAAAAATCTATAATATATAATGGCGGTCTCAAGACTTTTTAGAGACATACATAAAAGGGCTGTATACTAATTGTTGGTGAACGTTTCTAGAATTGTATATTAGAAGTTCATATTTGGATATAGATGACTTGCTTCACAGTGGCCGTTTATAGCTTATTTTCCGCTTGTTAACAATATGTAACAATTTTAACATCTATAGGCTGGCCAAAGTTATACATTAAATTCAGTCTTTTGCTTGATCAGTCTTTTTCACTTACAAATCCAATGTTCCTTCTTACTGGGAGTATTATCAATGGTTTAAAATTGTATTCACTTATGCAAGTTTGAAAAGTTATCCAACATTGCCCTTTTTAAAATTGATTAGACACTTACCTCCTTGAGCAAAAGTATTGTGCGCTCAATGTCAGAAACATTAGGAGGAGAAAGAGCTGTAGCGAGCAAGGCTCTAGGCTCCCCCATGTCAAGAAGCTTCACCTTCAAGACTGTGCTTCCCAAAGGGCTTCGCTGAAGGAAACAATAAAAGTAGCGGTCATCTAGGTGAGCTAGAAAATTATTAAAGAACTACAACCAAAGCACAAAATGCGGACATAAGCAAGCCTTAATAAGTTTCTTTTTTTTTTTAAACCTACCTTAAAATCCCTCATATTGTAGTCCAAGACGACCAAAGTAAGGCTTTCACCTTTAGATTATACTGTTGCCAAAAAAAGGATTGGATAATAGCAGATTAAAAAAAACAAACCCCGGAGGCCAAACCAGGATAACCCCTCCTACCACCTGTCTCAGTTTTCTGGCAAAGCAAAATGAGAGCATGATTAATATACAGTGGTGGGGCCTGTGTCCTTTAATGTACTCAAAGCAACACATTTTTGTGGGAATAAAAAAAACTCCTGTTTTCTCTCTCATCCATTGAAGGACACAGGAAGTCTTTATCCTTCACGATGTCCACAAGCAGCCCAACCGAGGGGTGGGTAACAGCAAATACTGAACAATACCAAATAACAGAAATCTGGCAGAAACATCCAACTGGCATAACTTGAAAAAAACGTGAACAGAATATGAAGTGCCAACCTTGCAAATCACAGAAACAGTTGCCCAATGCAAAAAATCACACAGTGTAGTATGAGCCTCAACAGCAACTTAAAGATGGTAAAACAAGTAGCTGGAGCATTCTACAGGGTCCATCCGGTAATACAACAAAAAACAAATCAGTCTTCGTAAAGAAAGCAATGGCTCACAACCAAACCACATCTAGATAATGGAAAGAAATCCCCAGTTAGACTTACCGGTTACTGTGTTTGAGACTCTCCCAGGACAGAAAACTGAGATGATTGTGTTTCCTGTACATAGTAGAGCCAATCCGAAATGTATAAAAACCCCTCCCACCCTCCTTATCCCTCAGTTGAGATTAAAGTAGAAAGAAACATTTAAAAATGCACCAAGAAAGGTGGGAGGTAGGCTTGCTGTCCTGGAAGATTTTTAGAAACACAGTTACCAGTAACTAACTGGGGATTTCCCCAATCATCGTTCAGGAAAGCAACCCGAGGGGGTAGGCAAGAAAACCAACCATGCATTCTCTGAGGGGGGCGGGGGACCACAGTCTGTAGAACTTTCCTATCAAAGGCCAGATCTTCCTGTTACACTCTGTAGTGCTTGAGAAACGTATCCTGACTAGTCCACACAGCCACCATGCAGATCTGCACCACTGAAGCGCCTGCTTTTTCTGGTCAAGAAGCCCATAAAGATCTGGTAGAATTTGCTGTTCATAATATACACAAAAGCAATGATCTGTCGAATCCACCTAGCTATATTAGATCTGGACGCAAGACAGCCCGTTCTTAAGGCCACCACACAACACAAAAAAATTACAGAAACCACATAAAGGATTCTTCGCTAGACTGCTGTCCAAAAACAGAGAGCAGAGATCTGTACTTTTAAACTACTGACTGTTGCATGTCTATCTATACCATCTTGCAAAAAAATATAATTCAGGATTCAGGGAACAGAAATATTTCTCTTGATACACCAAGAGGAAAAAAACCTCCAAACCTTGCTGTGTATCTTCCTGGTCACCAACTTCCTACTGGATAAAAGGGGTCAACAACCCTCTCAGAACAACCTTTCTCTTCTAGGATCCTCCTCTCAAGAGCCAGGCCATTAACTGAAAGAACCCAGGATTAGGTTGCACCACCCGCCCCTGAAAGAGAAGATCCTGTTTGAGAGGCAGGCGCCAGGGAGGCTCTATTGATCTCCTCATTAAGTCTGAAAACCACATTCTCCTGGGCTACCATGGTAAAAATCAGGATTAGCCTGCAGTCCGTCTGACAACTTTTGGACCAATCAAGGACGAAGAGAGAGGAGGAGGGAAAGCATATGCCAGGGAAAATTTTCAAATTTGAGATAAGGCACCCACCCCCCTGGAACCCCCCTCTGTTGAGGGAGAAAAGAAGGTGTCCACCTTTCTGTTCACTTGACAAAAATAGTTCTACCTCTGGAATAGCCCGTTTGGTAACAATCTGTGCGAAAATCTTTGGATGAAGCTACCATTTGAACCTGATGGACTGGCCGCCACCACAATGATCACCTCCTTTAATGTGGACTACAGAAAATGGAGAGGAGAACAGTTACCTCCACCCAAAGAAGAATGTCCTCTGCTACTTCCAGCAGTTTCAGAGATCTGGCACCTCCCTGATTGTTCAGATAGACGACTGTTGTAGCATTGTCCGAGAGGATCAGGACTTCCTGACCCTTCGTCCTTTTGAAACGCAAACAGAGCTTTCTTTTTTAATGTCGTCAGTTCCATCAAGTTGGAAGAAGCTCCCTTCAATTCCAAAGACCAAGGTCCTTGAGCCTGCATTCCCTGAGCATGAGCCCCCCAAACCAGAAGCTGGCTTCCGTGGTAATCTTGACAGGAGATAGCTGACTCCAAAGTCTCCCCTCCGAAAGTCTGAGAGTTCAACCACCAAAGGAGAGATTCCCGAATCTTTAATGGTAGTTGAACTCAGTTGTAACGATTCCTTCCTTAGATCCCATTTGGAAGAAGAAAAGTTTGAAGAGGTCTTGAGTGTAACTGAGCCAAAGTCAAGGCCGGGAAGTTATGACCGCCAGAACTCTCGATCTCTTAGGGAAAGAAATCCTGCTGAAAAAGCCTCCTGAACAATTCCTAGTATATATAAAATCTTTTCCTTTGTCAAAAAAATCTTTTGAGTAACTACGGCTATCAGATACCCCAGAAAAATTATTGATTGGGCCAGGATTAAAGAGGATTTTTCAGAATCCACCCAAGATTCTGTAATGTTTCTCTGACTCTCTGCAGGTTCCACAACACCTCCACTTCTGTGGGTGAACACAAAAGAAGAAGTGGAGGCAGTCCAAGTAGGGGATTACCAATATTCTCTGGAGATGAGCTATTACTTTTGCTAGAATTTTTGTTAAAATTCTCAGGGCAGCTACGAGCCCAAAGGGCAAGGACCTGAATTGATAACAAAGAACGGTCTTCTCTGTTTGTACTGCAAATCATATGAACGTCTGATGTCGGCAATAAATAGGCACATGAAGATACGTGTCCTTCAAGTCCAAGATAGGGACTTTTCAGGCCAATGGCTTGAAATTTGACCAGGACTGAATCCTGAAAGAAAAAAAAAAGGGAAGTGGTTTTTTTAGCTATGGGGAGAAATAGGAAGTGAGTGCAAGTCCACAAACCTAACCTTTTGAGGAAGAATGTGGATTGCATTTCCATGTTAAAAATCATGGACATTAGAGAATTAAGCTGACATAGGTGCAAATTGAATATTTGGATAATCACTTACAAAGTTTTTAACTAGTCTGCCAGTTCTTAGAATCCCACTCAATGGTTGAAAATCTCAAATTAAGCATTTTGGAAACAGAGTGGGATGACCTATCTCCTGATGTGTGGAAGTGGAGTGTTTAACAGCAGTAATTTAAGATTCTTTTCGAAAAAAGCATCTATAATCATATTTAATATATTATGAACAGAAATCTTTAAACTTCTGTGGGAAATAGGCACATAAATGCTAAACAGACATTATGGTTTAAAGCTCTTGATTGGGTTTACCCGCATACCTGGGGGAAAATGGGGAATTTTAACAAGTATATATAATAACTAAGTATTCTAAAAACTACTATAAAAAAAAAAAAACAAGACCTAATGTATATATTATATCCCCATGTGTAAATAGTTGTAAAGCTAGGTCCAGAAGGTAATCTTTTATTCATACATACACCTGATTTTTTTTTTTTGCTGCCTTATATGACCTTCCCTATAGATCTGTCATTCAATATTTTGCATTGTCACAATGAGCATTTGCATTATAGAGACAATATAGGTTTGTGATTTAATTTGTACTTGTTTTGCAATTCATATTGACAACTTGCATGCAACTTTTTGATGTACACATTATGGGTGCGTTTTTTTTTTTTTTTGGTCACAAAAAAAGCACAACTTGAATGTGACCTTCCAGCTCACTTCGGCTTCTATCTCTGCTATATCCAATTCAGTTGAGTCTGGAAGCAGCACTCCAAAAGCAAGGCTGAGGACTGCTTGAAGAAAAATGTTGTCAAGAAAAATTGCTAGCAAATATCATCCACACAGCAGAGCTGAAGAAAGGACATCCATCCTCCCAGGACACAACAAAAGCATGCTGGTAGCAGGAGGGGTCATCTTGGCCTAGTTTTTTTTTTTGCCAGTGTCCAATACTTCTGTAAGCAGCAGTATAACTGCAAACGTGGAAATCAGTCAAGAAAAAAAACTTGGTTATTTGTAGGCATGGTTTAGCATAAGAGCACATGATCCTAATCAGCTTTGGTCTACTATAAATCCAAAGCTTTGCCCAATTGGAATTGCTGAAAATGTTCAGAACTATGGTACTGTCGTCTCAAACCCAGGCAAAGCTCTGAAGACACACTAAAATGCAGTGGCTGTAATTGGCACAGCAGCTGAAAAAATAAAAACATTTCACTAATGTATAGAGGCTTTCAAAACTAAGAAATAGTTAGTAAAGCCAATGGCATGTAGGTTTGGTCATATTTGTATTGCTAAGAGCTGATCTCTGTTCAATACTCCTATGGAGAACCAATGCAAGAGCCAGTTACACTATGCGTGCTGCATTGGATTCCCCCAGGAAATATGTAAAACATTAAATTTGAAAATGACACAAATAAAGCTCAGCTCACAGCAATGCCCTGGGGGTTACTATTACTAGGACAGAACAGCCACAGAAGATCCCCCACATATGCAGTACAAAATCAAAAGATCCCAATAACCTTTACAACTAGTATTTGTTGCCAGTTAAATGTAAAATTGAACAACCCAAGTATGGAATATTATTCGAAGAATGATTGCTGCAGAAACATGCAAGCTTCAATAATCTAAGCATGACTGTTTACGCATTGGGCAGAAAGTTTACAGACATTGCTGCTGGCAGGACCCATTCACACCAAAATCCCAAGGAAATCGCAAGTTGATTTGCAATTGTACCTTCCGATCCATTGTGTTGCAATCTGGTTTCAACAGATGCTAACGCAAGGGCACCGAAAAATGATTGAGGGTGGTTCACACCAGGTCCGTTGCGTTGAAAACGAGTAGTGTACGGTCTACTTTTTTTTTCCCAGTGCAATGGAAAGATGCAGTGCAATCTAGCCCCATTCACACCCGCTCATTTTTAGGTGTCCTTTTTCGTGGACATCCATTTAAAAATCTATCGCAATGAAACATATATCGCAACACAACGGAACCATTGTGAATGGGCCCTTAAAGAGGCATCACAGTGCTCCAGGATATATTGATCCCAAGAGGCTGTCACAGGATTGTTCAGGCAATGTAACAGTGAATCTAGACTCAGGGAGGGACATATAAAAACTTTTGCTGGGTAATAAAGTTACTAGTAGGAATCCTGTGATGCCTTCTCTTGGGAAGAACTAAATGGCCCACATTAGGAGCTGTGTTAGATACTTTTGACATAATGTACAACCTTTCATAAACACACTGGGGGGGGCATTCATCAATACTAAACAGAGGCATGAGTGAAAGGTCTCTCTCAGCTGCTCTAAAATAGCACAGCGGGGGTGGGGGGAGACTGATATTTTCCTAATTACACGTGATTAGAGTAAAAATATGTTGCATCTTCAGTAATAAATATGTTCCAGAACTTTACAAACGGTCCTGGCTGCCCAGGAAAACAGACACACAGGTCTGTAAACCTGTCTGATGAGTCAGCCTGACCTGCAACTAATTGTGGCGCTAATCTGCTTGATGTTGAGCAACATTTTTAGCGGTGTTTTAAGACTAGTGAATATACATTGCATTTGTTTCAAAGGCCAGTCGCTTCAATTTTTTTAAAAGCTGGCTGCTACTTACCGGGACTTTTCAAAATTGCCAGACTCACTGCCAATATAGTTTTTTTTTAAAAGGCACCTCCCCCCGTCCCATAAGATATGGCGTCTTATCCAACAAAGAACCTTAACCCAAATTAAAAGTTTGCAAGTTTACTTGAGCTGACCAATAAAAAAAAAATGCCAATTTGTTTTTTTCTAATGACCAACAGTATAGTTCTCTGCTGCTACAGAACAATTCTAATGTGCATTCATACCAACATCTCTGGTACCACATTCTCGGGTATGGCGTTATTCCAGAAGTCTTTCCATACAAGCCTGTAGCAATAGCCTTTTGAAACTCGTCCAGCTCGGCCTTTGAAGTTTAACATAAAAACATGAACATTTTATTAACACACATCTCAATATAAAACACAATATAAAAGGATATTTTTTTTTTTAAAGCACCGGATGTAAGATTTGAATATTTTACAGCCACATTCTCCAGATGACAACAATAAAGTTAAAATACACATCAACCGTTTTACATGACAAAAATGTAAAGCAATGTTAATCAATTCTGGTGATTCATACAGAAAAAAAATTAATAATTGGGCAGCTTTTCTGGATATCTAGCCTATATAAATGGACAATGACAAACCACCAGCTGCTTTGCCTTAAATAGAAAAACTATTAGAGGGCTCGTTCACACAGTGCAGTCAGATGCAGTGTTAATGTGCACTGCATTAAGGAAACTCATTTATTTAAATGGGCCCTCAATGCACATTTTGTTCCCCAAAGCATCAGTAGTGCACTAGTATGTGTTGTGGCACACTAACAGAACTATTTAATGCACAGTGACGTCATTTAAAATGAATGACATTCTAAACGTTTGCTATTAAAAAAGGAATATATAACGCACAGTACTGCCAATTAACCCCTTCGTGACTGACGACGTACAGTGTACGTCGCCAGCATCGGGGCTGTTTAAACAGACTCCCGGGAACTTTTGCCGCCGGGACTCTGTTTAAACTTGTAGAGCCGACTGTCGGCTTTACAACAGAAGCGATCCTGGCGACTTACCTGTCGCCAGATCGCTTCTGCGTCCCGAAGAAGGGGCCCCCCCCCCCCCGCCGGACACCCCCGCCGTGCTTCCCGGGCTCCGTTGCCCCTCCTACGGGCCCGGGACCGGCGATCTTTGTGTCCGCGGGGAGCTGGGGAGGAGGTCGACGAACTTCCGTTCATCGATCCCCTCCCCGTTCTATGGGACCGGGAGCGATGCAGATTGCATCACTTCCGGTCCCTGGGCTGTCAGTTCTGGGCTCCTGCAGCCCAGCTATAAGCTATTGAAGTGCGATCTGCACTTCAATAGCTTATTTCCAGTGTAAAGGTGACACTGAGGGTCTTTTGGACCCCCAGCATCACCTTAAAGAGGACCTGTCACCACCATCTGCTATTACATGGGGGGGCTTGCAAGCCCCCCCATGTGATAGCAGTCAAAGTAAAGTAAAAAAAAAAAAAAAAACAGTTTTTAAAATTAAAATGAAATAAAATAAATCTAATAATAATAAAAAAAAAATTTTAAAAGTACCCCGCCCCCGCGAGCACGCGCGTCGCCACGTAAACACGCGTCGGGTGCGCCTACGCATGAAAACGACGAACGCGCTACACATGTTGGGTATCGCCGCGCACGCCGGAGTGAGAGCAATAATTCTAGGGCCAGTATTTTGGGGTATCTCTAAATTGATGACCTGTGGGAGCTTTTAAAGTGTCTTTTATTGATTTTTTTGGGGTACTGCAGTTTTTCGCCGTTTCACGGTCGCACGCAATCTGTAAACTGGGCATGTTGGGTATCGTTTTACTCGTTGTAACCTCATCTTTTATATTTCATTAAAAAAATGGGTAATTTGTTGTGTTTTGGGGCATTTAATTAAATTTGTCACTAAATTTTGGGGTTTAATAAGGAGTTGCGCTAATATTGCGCAACATAAACATTTTCAACTACCACCATTTTATTCTATAGGGTCTTGGCATTCAGAAAATATATAATGTTGGGGGGTTTTACGTCATTTTCAGGCCTAAAATGTGGAATATAACAAGGGTGCAAAAATGGAAAAAAGGGCCTCAGTCATGAAGGGGTTAACTGAATAAATCAAGCAACATCATTGCATAATCAGTCAGTCCCCATATTATTATCAATTATATAATCTACAGCACCTTTTCTCTGATCACAGTTGGTTTTGGATGCCCAGCTCAGTCTCAGACTCTGGTAGTTTGTCTCTTCATCACACACAAGTGTTTTAGTCAAACAAAAATCAATCACTGCAAAATAAAAAAACGTAAAGTAGGTCATAAAATAGCCATTAATTCAAGCACAGGAATGACCCCTGATGTTGGCATAGCATTTGGCATTTTTTGTATTAAAATAGGCTGCACTGTTCCCTCCCTTCTCATTCCTGACCCTGACATCACCAGGGCATCAGACTAACACCTGTGAAGGAGGTACACAAGCAGTGTTTTATCCAACTGTGCCAAATATCTAACTCATAATTGTGACCGTTAGGAGTTCTATTAAACATAGCCTCAGAAACCAAAGTGACCGCCAAGCAAATCTGGGAAACAGATACCGAATGCTGAAAGGATCAAGAAGCACTAACTGCTCTAGTGGAATGTGCTTTGAAAAGAAAGAGTGGAACCATGTCCTGTTAACTGTAGGCTCGAAAGATGAGATTGAGATGAGGCAGGGGGTCCAGGCAAGGACCTTCAGAGATTCGACTTGGGGACTGGAGCAATAGCATGCTGGGGTCCAGATAAGAAGAGCACTGGCTTACATCAATGCAGTAAGGGAACTATAAAGGTGGGATCTGCTTACCTGTCCTATAATTGATATAAATGAAATAGTTTAACTTTCAATGAACCAGTCAGTTCCAAAGTGTCACTGTAACGTGCTATAAGATGACAAAGTTCCCATTATTTAGGATATCAGTGGAAACTGAAAACTAACTTATTAAAAACAAATCATCCAACAGTTGGCAATAAAATATGTGTATTTCTATATACAAATTAATAACCCCTCAAAAAACAAAACATCAAAAACTCCACACACACCTAGAATACCAAGAGGGTCTCAAATACTTTGTAAAAAGTCCTCCAATGTGGAGATATACATGCACCAACTCTATATGGCTATCACTCTTGTGAACATCATGATATTACAGCTCCAATGTAGCGGACACAGGTGGATGATGAATATGAAGTCTCAGGAGGTATGAATCAAAGCAGGCCTTCTTTGAGGAGTAGATACAACAGAGCTGGCATGCCATCCAGTAATCGCTTTGTTTATCAAAAGGGTCCTTAAAGATATTTATACTTTAGGTACAGAAGAGAAAGTTGACGATAACCTTATGATAGAGGAAAGAGTGGCCCTTAAGGAATTATGTAATAGGGAACTTGTTATAAAACTGGCAGACAAGGGAGGGGATGAAGGCAAAGATTATGAGGATATAGTCTATAGCAGTGGTTCTCAACTCGTGGGTCGCGACCCAAAAGTGGGTCACGACACCCTCTGCAGTGGGTCGCGGCGTCATGTCTGCATAGACCGGCCCATCTGCATTAGAAAGAACTAGAGGGGGAATTTGTGGTTCAGCCTGTGGAACCTCTATAATGTCAAACTGTCCCCTCTCTCCCGGCCTCTCCGATAAAGTGGTATGGCCCGGGGAGAGAGGGGACTATTTCTTCATACTCAAAAACCAAGAGTGGTACAAACCTAGTCGGTACTGGCTGAGGGAGCCTCACGGAGAAAGTCAGCATTTATGTAGACGAGGTGTTGAAGTGTTACCTACTTATGCGAGGGATAACCCCCATATTGTTAGTATACTGGATCAAGTACAGGTTTCCGAACAGACTCTTTGTGAGGCTGAACGTGGAAGCATTTTACTTGTCCATCCCCGCACACCAAGGGAGTCAACACAGTGAAATATTTTGTGGACGAATTGGGCTTTGGGGAACAGGAACACAACATATTTGTCTCATCTCTCCTGCACTTCATTCTAATTAACAATGCTTTCTTATTCAACGGCGACCACTAACTCCAGATATAGGGATCGGCGATGGGTTCCACTTGTGCCCCATCATACGCAAACCTGTTTTTGGGGGGTGGAAGCGCAAAGTGTTTGGTAGAGAGGATTACCTAATGTACATGTACCACATGCTATCGTGGCACAGGAACATTGACAATATCGTAATAATATGGTGCGGCACAGTCAAGATGTTGGATAGTTTTGTTAAGGTACTGAATGACAATGCATGGAATTTAAAATTTACATGCACACACAATGTTAAATGTCTTCCCTTTTAGGAAATACACAAAGAAAAAAATGGAATCCAGATCTTTCCCCTCCCAGTGGGGATACCCTTTAAAAGGGGTCTCTAGGGACAGATTTCAACTGGCAAATAAATCATAGCCCTGGAAATGTATAACACCCTCCTACTAACTCATTGTGTTGTACCACATGCCTAAGTAGGCGCCTTTACCTGGCCAGCCCCAGGTATGGTCCCCCAAGACTCAAGGAGTCAACCAATCCAGAAGCTGCAAAGCAAGTCGCAATGGCTATGCAGCAGCAGAGAATCATGCTAGAAGAAGCTTCTTGAGAGAAAAAGAAAAGTAACTTTGCTACTCCCGGAGCAAAAAGACCATGTCCATTCACCTAAGGACACTAGAAAAAAACAAAACAGGCTTGCTTGGCGTGAGAGGGGTTATAGAGGGCTTTCCTTAAAGATTTGTTTGACTGTCAAAACGTCTGAAAGCAGCTGCATAGCCCAATGATTTCCGGATATTGGGTTAGGCTAACTTTTGATAGAGCATATGGCTTGTCGTGTAATATGCAGGAAAACATCTTGCCAAGTGGTAGGGGAAATCTTCAAAAAAGCCTGACATTTGTACCCCTCCGTCTCCACTTCCTACATCACAAATCATTTATTACCTTGGAGTGTAAATGAAGCTGTGTGTAAAGCTTTGTGGTACTGCAGATGTTTTTTTTACATTACTTTATTGTGCATGAATGAAAACAAAAAATCTGTAGTGGTTGTGTTTGGGGACAGCCCTCAACATCACACAAGGAAGTGTTCTCAGATCAAAATTTTTCAGAGTGCAGTGAACTACAGCAGTAACAGGGTGCAAAACTGAAGAACCTAAAGAGGAAATCACCTTTAAAATCACAAAAGGCGCCTTTAGAAATGTTTAGTTATGGCAATCTACAGACCCATACTTCTAGATAATTGCAGCTTTTTATTCATTGGATTTTTTTCCCCTCCCCATTCTTCTCACAGTGGCAATTTTTACTAAGGGCAGATTAATCCATCTCCCTTTACTTCCTGGAACTCTGCAAACTGTAACATGTAACTGGAAAATGTGACATCAACTCAGGGGAAAAATATGCCTTTCCTCGAGATCTTGTGAGATTTTGCCATTTACAGATATTTCCCCGCAGTGGCACTGTGATGTAGCCTTCTTAGGATGCATTGCTTAGGCATGGGTGACATCACTAATACCAGGAAGTGGTAAAACTATAGTAAGTAAAAATGTTTGTCTAATGAATGTAAGTTTTTCATATCAGCATGCGGAGCTGCATGCTAGGAGTGATTTTTAGCCAAAGGGGGAAATGTCCGCATTTAACAAGCAAACTGAGTTCTCAGTATTTCAAGGATTCATTTTCAGTTCAACTGAAAAGTAATGTCAGCAGTCTCAAAAACAAACATGTTTTCATAATAAAATGCTAGGCAAGTCTTAGCTGCAACCCCAGGTAGATCATTTACCATATTTCACATCCGGTACAGTGATGGAGCTCTCAGCAATGTTCGTTGATAAAATTATCTGTCAATACAAGCAAAAGCAGGAAGCAGATATGAACCACTTCTACTATATCTCTAAACATACATGCAATTATACATGTGGAATTAAACATTACATATAAAAAGAAAAAAAACACATACTAAAAAGCACATAAAAAGGAACTCCTATATGACATCAAAGTTCAAGAAGGGAAAGAAAACAGTGAATTGTCTGAAAGACAAAAAAGGAACAAGTGGTGCAAGCACCTGCACCAATTTTCAATGTCCCCTTTTTTTTTCCAATCAAATGCCATGCCACTCTGAACAGGCAAAGCAAACACTTCCAAGTAAAGTTGGAGCGTGCCCACTTCCATACAGAGCTATTAGCTCATCTCTATGATCGAGAACCCCTGCTACTACTGGCATGCCTCAGTTTTGTGCTAAAGCAATAGCAAAGCCTGATCATAAACAGGTGTGGGACCAGTGTTCCTCCAAGAACAGGATTTTATAGAGGTTACAAAATTTGATTTTGACTTTCCAGTGAAATCTGTTTCTTGGTGTAACGTACAGGACAAAGGCAGATTCATAAACTAAGGGTAAAACGCAGATATCATCAGGAAACTAGACACTGGTTAGAGCTATAAGGACTCTCATATAGCTGTAAAAAAAAAAAAATCAGTCAGTCAAGGCAACTGGACTTGCTGTATTTTTCTTGAAGACGTTTCACTGGACATCCGACCAGCTTTCTCAATTCAGAATGACTTGTACAACAAATTCTCTAGTAATAAATATGGTGAATGTCACTCCAATCCACATAATCTGTTAGTGTTGATTGCATTTGCATAATTGGAGTCTAGGAGGTGTTATTAACCTGCCCAGAGAGAGGTGGTAAAACAGCATTGTATGTGGCAGAGAATACATATAATACTGTTTTAACATCACATCTGTCCATGTATACTTGGTCTAGGCTACAAAACAGCAAGCCTCTCAGTTGAGGCGAGACACCATGAGTTCAATTTCCCCAATGAAGCGTTCCCCAATGAAGGCAAAGCTCATGAAAAACCCCAAGTCTAAGGTAGTCAGACCTAGGAATGTACACTGCAGAAATCACTGGAAAAGGCCTCTCCACCTCTCGAAGAATGTCAAATGAATAGCTATGTAGAAACCAGCTCAAGCAGCAAGCTTTAATGAAGATGATGAGATGGTATGGGGGAATCCACAAACAGAAATAGTTCGACTACTCTCAAAAGAGCTGGAGAAGATCCTCCTAGGTCACAAGCCAAAAAACTGAGGCATGCTTGGGATACTGGAGGGATGCTTTCCTACAGTTGTTCTGTTGACAGGGTATTATCCTGTGGGAAGCAGTATAACCAAACAGATTTATTGTGTCTGTCAATAGACTGTGTCCCTCTTTGACTGCAGTGGGGCTTTGTAGTATTGTCTAGTAATGGTTAAGTGTTAGGCAGATAAGGAGAACCTTTCCTCCACTCTCAACAGCCAAAAAACATTCATGCAACATAGCAAAAGCAATAGCAAAGCCTGATCATAAACAGGTGTGGGACCAGTGTTCCTCCAAGAACAGGATTTTATAGAGGTTACAAAATTTGATTTTGACTTTCCAGTGAAATCTGTTTCTTGGTGTAACGTACAGGACAAAGGCAGATTCATAAACTAAGGGTAAAACGCAGATATCATCAGGAAACTAGACACTGGTTAGAGCTATAAGGACTCTCATATAGCTGTAAAAAAAAAAAATCAGTCAGTCAAGGCAACTGGACTTGCTGTATTTTTCTTGAAGACGTTTCACTGGACATCCGACCAGCTTTCTCAATTCAGAATGACTTGTACAACAAATTCTCTAGTAATAAATATGGTGAATGTCACTCCAATCCACATAATCTGTTAGTGTTGATTGCATTTGCATAATTGGAGTCTAGGAGGTGTTATTAACCTGCCCAGAGAGAGGTGGTAAAACAGCATTGTATGTGGCAGAGAATACATATAATACTGTTTTAACATCACATCTGTCCATGTATACTTGGTCTAGGCTACAAAACAGCAAGCCTCTCAGTTGAGGCGAGACACCATGAGTTCAATTTCCCCAATGAAGCGTTCCCCAATGAAGGCAAAGCTCATGAAAAACCCCAAGTCTAAGGTAGTCAGACCTAGGAATGTACACTGCAGAAATCACTGGAAAAGGCCTCTCCACCTCTCGAAGAATGTCAAATGAATAGCTATGTAGAAACCAGCTCAAGCAGCAAGCTTTAATGAAGATGATGAGATGGTATGGGGGAATCCACAAACAGAAATAGTTCGACTACTCTCAAAAGAGCTGGAGAAGATCCTCCTAGGTCACAAGCCAAAAAACTGAGGCATGCTTGGGATACTGGAGGGATGCTTTCCTACAGTTGTTCTGTTGACAGGGTATTATCCTGTGGGAAGCAGTATAACCAAACAGATTTATTGTGTCTGTCAATAGACTGTGTCCCTCTTTGACTGCAGTGGGGCTTTGTAGTATTGTCTAGTAATGGTTAAGTGTTAGGCAGATAAGGAGAACCTTTCCTCCACTCTCAACAGCCAAAAAACATTCATGCAACATAGCCTTCACTGTGACCCATGAAAAGTTACATTTTACTCTGCTTTCCAGACGTTTTTTCTTGCCTTCCTGGCCAATAAAGCCAACTAAAAAATAAAGTGTTTCATAGCAAAGTGAGCATCAAATCAGGCAAATAACAGAGGGAAGCTTTTCTTGGCACAAGTGAGGGAAAGGTTCACGTTAAGTGAACACATTAAGCATCAGTGTAGAAGTCCGAGTTTAAATTAAAGGGACAATGTCATGTGAGAATTATGAAGACTAACATTGCTTTTTTTTTTTGAGAACACAAGTTGTAAAGCTGAAACTTTAATAAGGAATTCTGCCACTTTCTTTTCTGACCCTCATTTAGAGCATGCTTGCTCTAAAAGTACTTAAGAGACCCTGACAATTCTCTATGCTCACCATTGTTACTTTCTCTGAACCCTACGTCACAGAAGGTATTGAGACTCCTGGGAAATTTACAAGCATAAGACACTTACTAAAACTATAGCACTAAAATGGCAGCAGGAACGGGATTAAGAGGCACAGGTCACCAGAGAGATGAGATTACTACTCCTTTTGCGGGAAACTGCTCATTTCAATCTGTAAAAGTCCTGACAGGGTATATAAAATAAGGCACAGCCAGCATGTTCTTCAGAAGGCCAGCCAAGGTAGCCCACATTAGTCTATTGTGACATTGTCACTTGAAAGCCAGTATAGGGGTAATACAATTGCAGATGTCAAGTCAACCCTAAATGTATTTATGTGTGATTAGTGTGTTTAACCACTTCAAGACCAGGTGTTTAGACCCCCTTCCTGGCCAGGCCATTTTTCAGTGTTCAGCGCTGCGATACTTTGACTGACGTTTATTCCGTCATGCAACGCTGTACTGAAATGAATTTTATACCATTTTTTGGGGACAGATAGGGCGTTATTTCGGTGGTATTTAATCACCACTGGGGTTTTTATTTTTTATTATAATTAGGAAAAATTACAGAAAATTTTGAAAAAAAAAAGTTTTTTTTACATTATGTTAGGAAACATTTATTATTAACCAGTTTTTTGGTAAAATATAAAAACAACTAAAGTCCCAAATTAACTGCAGGGTTAATTACACTCAAACGCTTTAATATAAAAGCAGGTGCTCAAGAGGTACGTACTATTATAATACACGTTTTGCCCTTAAAAGCTGTTCCATTACAGTACAAATGTAAGATAACTTTAGGATTCTGGATATAAAGATTCTCTACAGTGCAACCACTGTTCAAACCATTTTAACTAGCTTTAACCATGAATTACCTTTCTGTAACCTATAACTGGAGCCATGAAAACCATGTTCTGTTCATCCAGGGTGATGCTTGAATGCAGGGGATAAACATGTAACCTGGAACCAAAGATGGCAATCACAGTTACAGCCAACATTGCTTCCATATTGCCTGCACTAAAGGTTCTAAAAATACAGCAAGACAAGATTGATCATCTGAATGTGAAGGGCATTATGTGTGCATGCTTATAGAATTGGATGGTAGCTGCAGGCAACAGAAATTTAGGGCACATAACAGACATACAACTGTCCAATGTTGTTCATATTCTACATTTGAATCAATGACAACAAACGACACTCAGTCTCAATAGGAAAAGAAAAAATAAAAAAAAATAAATCAATGTACCTTTTATGAACCATGTTTGAGAACAGCTCATGCATATAGTTGATTTCAAATATGCCTGTAAAAATACAAAACAATGTAACAGATTTTACTCATTTTATTAACACCTAAAAAAGTTTAATGGATAAATCCTCAGTAAAAAAACAAAGTACTGCGCTTAGGTCACTTTACTGCAGGAGTTGCACTGCTTCAAAAAGGAACAAAGGGCATAAAAGCGTACAGACAAAATCAATGGAGAATAGGTGGTGATATGTAGGAAAACGGCCGGACGGGAGGTTTGTAGATGTGAGTGGGCGTCTTGAAACGTGCCTTGTGCCTGGACCCGAGTGGGAAACTGTCAAAATTTCAAACAGCCAGTGATCGCTCTTTACATATAAGCGGTGCGGCGTCTGTAGAGACACCCGGTCGCTTGTATGTTGTGCCTACCGCAACGCTGAATACTGAAAAATGGCCTGGTCAGGAAGGGGGTGTACACACCCTGGTCTTCAAGTGTTTAACATCTTTCACCAGCCCCTGGCCCCCTCAAATAAAACATTGCCAAGAACACTGTAGCAGATAGAACAGTTATAATTGGGGCAGCAATGAGTGTTTTCATGATCTATGCACAGTTGTCCATTATAAACACCAAAGCTTTACAGACCTAGAAGAGATCGCATTCAGTTTAAAGAAAAGGTGTTTAAATGTACAAGACATAACCTGAGGCAAACTGTAAACCCATATACAAGCAGCTACAGATCTTGGGAATTAAAAGCCTATACAAAATGAGCTTCATCCTGTGCCCAAAAAGAATGAGAACAGCCTTGTGGAAGAATCAGAAAACAATAGATAAGGGAAAAATAGGAATAACTGCATGTTATTTAGATTATCTCTAACAAACGAGTTGTGACATTTATAAACCTTAGGCTGAGAGGCCTAGATAAATTAAATGACTGACAGGAAGGACATTCGCAAGGCACTGCGGGCTATGCATACATTTGCCAGCGCACACAGTATTGCTTTGTGGTTTGTGTGCTTCCTGCCTCAGCCAAATCATTACCCTCAACAACTTCACCTAAAAGGCTGCTCAGTGTCCTGAAAAATGTACAATTAGAGCACGATTCAACGGACTCAAACACGCCCAAAAAAACTGGTCAGGAACCTTGTTCTCTCTCTCAGGCTCTATAGCCGACTGATGAGTACAGCGAGGCAAAAATGTCAGTTTGCCACTATGACAAAGCGTTAAGTCATTTTTTTTTATCACACTATAAAAGCATGTACCACCCTCAATCAGTTCAGATTAACACAGTGAAGGGTAGTGAAAGATCTGTTAGAGGGGTAGGAAGCTGCAATTCAACTAGGAATATGTTGTGTACAGTAGAAGCAAACTGCAAGATTATATTTTTGGCCCTGTGCACACTATGGAGCTCCATTGCTGTCTGTAACCACAAGAATGTTAGCGTGAAATATTTTGCACATTAGGGGGCAAGTCTGAAAGAATATATATGCGCATTGGAGTGCTATTCTAAATCAAATGATCACACAATACACCACAGAAAATGGTAACGCGCCCATTTTACTGCAATGAAAAGTGTTAAGTCAGGTCTGGGTGTTTTTTACTTTAATGGATTCTCTGCATTTTTCTCTCACCTCTTGGGAAAACCTAAAACCCCTTCTTGTAAAAGAAAATCACTGCAGAAGTCTCGCCACTCCCAAATGTCCACGGTCCATAAACAATTTACCTGGCAAGAACACCAACACGCTGTTCGGTTCCGTGCTTAATCGGCTGGTGTTTGTTTTTTGCCTGCAGGAAATGAATAAAGCACAAGACATCTACAGGATCAAACAGCACACATTGCTACAAACCTAATATATCACATCTGCCAATCATAATTGACTAAAGAGGGTTTAAATGCAATTACTTAGCTGCATTAAGAAATCATCATCTAAGGTATATCTGTAAAAAAAAAATGTCAACTGGACCTGCTGTATTCTTCTTGAAGACGTTTCACTGAACATCCGACCAGCTTTCTCAATTCAGAATGACTTGTACAAAAAATTATAGTCTAGGATGCATAGTTGACTGTCTTCATAAGGAGTGACCTTTTTCCTTTAGATGTAGGTACACTGCTGAACCCTGACCAGAGGGTTTGGCTCTTCTATGCTGTGCCATACGCTAGTGTAACTACTGTTTTGTTTCACCGATATACAATTCTGAGCACTGCATACACAATGTTGTTCATCTTGTGGTGTGGCATTGGGTCTTTTGGGTGAACCAGTTGTTGCCTCAGTGTATTGCTGGGTTTAAAGCAGACAGGGATGTGATGTTTTTTTTAAAAACCCTTCTGAGTTTCTCAGACACTCCAGCTACATATGGGATGACCATATTCTTCCGTTTGTCATGCTTTTCACTCTCCCTGGTACTCTTGGCATTTTGTCCTCTCCTTCTTTCTGTTTTGATAAAGGCCCTGTCTGGATACCCGCAAGTTCTAAGGGCCCCCTGAGGTGTTTGAATTCTTTTGTCTTGGCCTCTGTTCTGGATGGAATTTTCTCTGCCCGGTGGTGTAGAGTCCTGATGACTCCCTGTTTGTGGTCTAAAGGGTGGCGGGAGTCAAATAGCAGGTACTGGTCCGTGTGTGTTGGTTTTCAGAGACCTCTATTTCCAGCCTCCTTCCCTCTTCTACTGTTACTAAACAATCCAAAAAAGCCAGTTTGTTGTTTAGCATATCTTCCCGCGTAAACTTGATATTATGATCCACTGAGTTGATATGGTCAGTGAAAGCCTTTAACTCTTGTTTTTGAATCTTAACCAAAGTGTCAATCACATATCTGAACCAATGACTGGGTGTAATTCCCTTGAAGGTGGTTAGGGCCTTGCTTTCTACTTCGTCCACGTACAGGTTCGCCACAATAGGTGAAACTGGCGATCCCATGGCACAGCCATGTTTCTGCCTATAGAACTTGTCCTTGTACTTAAAATAGGTGGTACTCAGGTAAAAGGTCCAAAAATGCACACTTGATCTGGGTTAACTTTTGTTCTGCTGCCTAGGGTGTTGTCTAGTAGCAACTGTTTTCTCACTGTTCCAATTGCCTCTGCGGTGGGTATGCAGGTGAAGAGGGATGTGACATCATAGAATACCATTGTTTCTTCTTTGCCCAATATTAGGTTCTTTATTTTGTTTGTGAAATCCTGAGAGTTCTGTATGTGGTTATGTGAATTTCCAACCAAAGGGGTGAGGACTCTGGCTTAGTATTTTGCCACGTTATAACCCAGAGAGTTTATGCTGCTGACAATTGGCCTATCCTTATGTATCTTCGGAAGTCCATATATACACTGAGGGTAGAGGCGATGATACATGGCCTGATAAGCATGATGTGGATCACTGGAGGATTTGTCCAGTGAAACGTCTTCAAGAAAAATACACCAAGTCCAGTTGCCTTGACGGATTTGTTTTTTACAGATATACCGTGACATTTGCAGGATCATTGTGGCCGTTATACTGTAATCCTTTCATTGCACCATGTATACAGCATTGTGGTTAAGGTCTAGCAGGTTCAGACAGGACGGACGGACGGACACACACACACGCCAAACAGAGCTTACACTTGCCATGCATTATTGGGTTTTCACTGCGTTTACCATGGGCTGCAAAATATAGCAACATGTCCAAACAGATTACTCAAGCTTTATCGTTACATCCTATTTTGGTGTTGGTTTTAAGTATTAAACATCCTGCAATGGAAAGAACAGTTATTTAACTAAACCCTGATTTAAGAAAAAAAAAGGGGGATGCACTGAATGCCAGTGTGCCCAGCAGACAGGGGCACGTGTATGTTATGTAACATTGAAGATGTTACATAACATCTCCCCCCCCGGCTTCACTTATTTTGAGACAGTATTGTTTAACCCTTTCGCTGCCAAGGACGTATGGCATACGGACCTACACACTGAGCTAATTTTACATTAAATTTCAGGAGTTTAAACTAACCATATTTAGGGAACAACATGAAACGCGGTCAGATCGCAACAGGTACCTCTACTTAAGGGACAGGGCGGAAGTTGCCAGCTTTATTGAACTTGAGATGGAAGAATCTGTTGACCAAATCCTACTATTCTCTCTTTCTCATGTCTCAAGTTCTTCTTCACGCATGGATTTGGCCTTTGCAAATAGTGACCTACTCAGTTATGTTGTGGACTCCTCATATCTACCTGAAGGACTTTCAGACCATTTGCCTATATGCATTAAGATGAACGCGCTACCAAAACCTAGTGCACATTGCTGGCGATTAGCGCCTGGCTGGATTTCAGAACCTATTGTAGAATCACCTCAACCCCACTTTTTGGAGTATCAATACTGAAACTGCCTCTTCTGTTCGTGTGGGATGCCTTTAAAGCAGTTACTTGAGGAGAATACATTTCAGAGATTAAGCAAGCCAAGGAGGTTCATAAATTCGATCTAGAACAGTTACACAATGAGAGAGAGAGAAAGGGATTGTGTAGTGGCTCATACCATGGCCCCTACTGCTGCTACGTTGCAGGATCCAGTGGCAGCCCTCAGGGCGTTATTACTCCGCCATCAGAGTTTAACACAATGTTACTTCCGTATGAAAGCGAAAGTTTTGTTCGGAAAAGGGATATAAAAAAGTCAAGATGTGGGCGATGCTTGTGGCGGAGCAGAAGACACAGCGTGATCCCTTGATTTTGTGGAACTTCCACAGCTTTCATCCACTGATAAAGAGTCCCCTGAGACGGAATTTTCAGAGGAGGAAATTGTTTCGAGATATTAACGCTTTTCCTAATAATAAATCTCCGGGGGGGGTATTAGCAAGGATTAGGATCTGGGATCACTACGCTACACATACCATTTCACTTATATGAATTCGTTCACCAAGACAATGCCCTACAAATATGGGGACCATTTTATCTCTTCTGGTGATGGGGGTCCTTTGCATCGTCCTCGATGCCCCTTCTTCCTATGGCCCCGATGTCCCTGGCATGGTCTCGGACGGAGTTGAGTGGGCTGGTTTGATTCAGGCCACCATCTCTTAATCCGGAAATATCGGTCCTCCTCCAGACATTAGGTGTTTGATTAGCCCCCCTGAAGAAGCTCGGTGCGAAACGCATCGGGACCCGGATATGTCAGTCTTCCAGCGAAATAAAAATTACAATCAGTAAATGAACAATTAATAATTAATGATAAATCATGTCAATAAATGGATAATCAATTAAGTTATAACCGGTTGACGATAGACATATCCTGGGCACTTGTTGCATGTTACAGCTAATTGGGGGCTTTTTATCTGTATTCTTATGAATTGTACATTGCTCATGAATTGTTTTTATTTCTTATTTTATTTAATATGTATACAATTGACATTTTTTATACAAAAAAAAATAAATAAATCTCCTGGGCCTGACGGGTTATCAGTTGAATGGTGTATAAAGTATGCTCAAAAATTGGCTCCAAAGCTTCTCGCCCTGTACTCTGATTTTTTTATTTTGATGCCTTACCTCTGTCCTTGTATGAAGCACATGTTGTGTTAATTGGCAAACCTAATAAAGACCCCCTGCGATGTGCCTCCTATAGGCCTAACTCCTTGCTTAATATGGATAGCAAAATACTAAGATGCTTGCGACTAGGCTATTTAATGTTTTGACTAAGTTGGTGTCACTTGGTGGTTGGTGATCAGACAGGTCTTATCCCACATAAGCCCACAAATATTAATCTTAGAAGAAACTATACCCCACACACAAATTATCCATGACAACCCAGGAGCTTGAGTGCTGATATCATTGGAACTAGAAAAATCCTTTCATTCTGTAGGCTGGGGGTACCTTCAGGCTGTTTTACATAAAATGAGGTTTGGACCTGTCTTTTGTCAATGCATCAGTGTCTTATACTGGCAACCAATCATAGCCCTCTTTAAAAATAGACTATCGGCGTGGCGTAATCTGCCGTTGACGCTTATTGGCAAGGATAACCTTAAAAAATGAAACTTCTCCCAGTCCTCCTCTATGTTCTCTGTAATTCCATGATAGTTCCATGAAGTACATATTCAAGAAAGTGGACAAATTGAATTTGCAATTTCTATGGAATGGGGGAGCACAAAGAATACGCTTAACAGTTCTGCAACTACCCTGGATGAAGAGGTCTGACGATCCCAAATTTTTATGAATATTTTCTGTCAGGTAGACTGGTCTTTGCCCATAGATAGCGAACCACGCAACAATTTGACTCCGCATTTTCCTTGGAAGATGCTATAGTAGGATCCTACGAGGCTCTAAACCATTTGGTTTCAATAGTCAGTTTTTAGGGCCTGGAAAATTCTTCATTTCTCAAATTCATCGAGTGACGTTACCTTTTCACCGAACACGTCCTTATGGCCGAACCCTTTTCTTGGCCATTTTGCCACTATCCTGGATATCAGCAACAACTTTACGAGATGTGAAAGTTGTAGCTGATATTGTCAATCAGGGCTATTTGCTGTCAATTGAGGAGCTTAAAAAACTCAAACCTCCTAATCATTACCTGTTTTGGTACTTTTAAACTCCGCCACGCTTTTAATTACCAATTGCCATGGTGTTGTTTGACTCTTCACTCCTTCTTAGGGAAGATAAGCTACGGAAGCCTTTATCTGCAATTTATAAGTTACTTGCCCTGAACGGCATCGAACAGCTGCAGAAGTTCCAGCAAGCTTGGATGTCGGATTGTCCTGGTCTAGATTCAGAGGACATGTGGCGGACCCCATTTGCAAATGCTAATCTCTGCACGAGATCAGTTGATGCTATATAAAAAAACTTGTTCATCTTGATTACTTGATGCCTACTAGACTTTCTGCCATGTGTACTTCCAGGGGCTGGCGGTGTCTACATGCTCCTGCCGGCCTTCTTCATATTCTTTGTAAAGAAGTGGTGGGTGTAGACAGGGCCGCCGTCAGGGGGGTACGGCTGATACTCATATGAGGGGCCTGGGCAAGTCTCCTCTAGGGATGCACCAATACCGTTTTTTCAGTTTCGAGTACCAATACTTGTACTTCCGGTAGCATGGAGACGGCTTCACAGGCAATTGGTTAAGGCGGCCTGTTCCATAGGGCACACACATGGGAGATATCCTGATCAAAGGTCTCATGATATCAAGAAGCCATTATTCTCAAACATGATAGCAAGAGTAGAGACCTGACCCTTCAAAGCGCTAAAAGCCAAAAGCTGGCCTAGCTGCAAGGAGAAGATTTGTCCAACAAAGAATTTTCTAGGTTGCAAGAAGAGACTCGCATCACTTGACGTATGCCTTTTATGCACGACAATAGAGCTTCCCAAGATTCAGAAAATGCCCACCTCTTAGAACCTGGGTTTCAAAGGCCACGTTAATAAATCAGTGACCATGAAGCAAGATGCAACATTAGAGAGAGAAGACAGAGACAGAAGATCCACATGATCTGGAAGAGCCAACTGAAAATCCACCAGGAGTTTGGTCAGGTCATAATACCAAACCTGCCCGGGTTACTCCAAAGCAATCAAGGCAATGCTCTCCATCTCAATCCTGTGAAGATGTAAAGGTAGATTTAGGCATAGATCAGGGTGTACTAATCCCATGGAGCTATCAACGCATCAACTGCTTCCGCTGGACAAGAACTGTACCTGGAGAAAAGAGAAAACTGTACCAGCCCAGTCTCTTTTTCTTAACATGGATGCCCATTTCTAGTGCCCCCCTACCTGTGACATACATTCTCAAACACCTCCAGGTTCAAGGATCACTCCTTCAGGTCTAGGCACTGCTGGTTGCCTGACAATTGTTTACACTTATAATGCAAAACAGAAGAAAAGGCTGGAACATGAAGTTTTGTTTAAGACAGGAATTGCTCTATCCATTGTGGCAGCAAGACTTCTGGTTCCTTTCTAATGGTTGAGGCCACTGATAGAGCACACTGACTATCCAAACAGAAATTTGATCGGGTCATAATGCCAAACCTACCTGGGCAAATCTAAAGCACACAATCAAGGGAATGCTCTCCATCTAAATCCTGTGACGCAAACAAGGAAGAATTTAAAGAGGTGATAAAAAGGCATAGATCAGGGTGTACTAATCCCAAATTATCAAAGTTTTCACTGCTTCCACTGGACAACTGTACCTGGAGAAAAAGAGGAAAACAAATCCAACCCGGAGGCATGCCCGGACTCAGTACCTGAAGGGTGTCCTATGGCTAAAATTACATTATTACATGCAGATCGGGAAAGAGCAACAAGGCAGAGCCCATTCAAGCGGAAGATTTAGATATAAAAGACCAGCTAAGCAGCAATATAGTATACATTTTGATGGAAGACCAACTTTGTTTGGATTGACAAGGGACATTTTTCTTCACATTCTGTCAGAGAAACACAACAGAAGTGAGGAAATCTTTACAAAGTGAGGGGATTTCCCATCCAAGAGGTCCCTCAATGGGCCAACTGGACTAACATTTTGGGTCTTTCCTCATTTACTGTCTCGTAGACAACAGATACCAAGACAAAGAGAATGAATCTCCACAGAGGGTAGACAGCAATTAATAACTGACATGTCGAATGAATGCGCAAAACCAAATAATTTTCACTCCATTGGCAAATCTCCTTTTACTTACCTTTATTGAAGTGAAATCATACAACATTTTCAAGCTCACCTTTCTTTCTCCATGTCATCAAAGAGCTGTATCAAAGTTGTTGCAATATCAAACATTTCTTTGCTAATCACTGGCTCATCAAAGGTCTGAGCTGCAGCTTCCAACTAGCAGTACAAATAAAAACAAGTATTGTTACTATTTGAAAGTGAATATCTACACTGACAGCAGCACACTCAGCAAATATAATATGAGGGGTCACCCAAGGAACCATAAAACAAAGGTTTTAGAAACTATGGGCAAACTGAATACTAGCTTTACTAAAGAGTTATCCTGGGGCAAATGCAAAGTGCTGTAGTGAAAGGGGATTTCATTTAACATTTTCAAAGCCACAATAACTGCACCCCGCAAGTACCGTTCTCCTGGCAACCGCCAAACCCAGACACATCCATCGAATCACGGAAGCGTGATTCGTCACTCCAGAGAAGCCTTCCCTAGAGTCCAGTGGCGGCGTGCTTTACGTCACTACATCCAACGCTTTGCATTGCACTTAATGTAAGGCTTCGGATGCAGCTGCTCGGCCATGGAAACCCCGGCCGTGGAGCAAGTAGTGTCAATATGGAAAACTGCAGAAAAATTTGATTTTTGATTTGCCAGTAAACATTAATGCGAGTACAGTACAGTGGCTCCTTTAAATCATAGATTCTGAGCTATACGAATCCTCCCTTAAGGTGGACACTGGCAACCAGAATTGTGGAAAGGGCCCTATAACCCCTCCCACTCACAGCAACCCTCACTTTTGCAGCAGGCAAGGAGAGGAAAATTGTCAGGACAGAGGGAAGGGTGGCCAGTGCCTTTTACTGTATGCCAAGAAGTAGATTTTAGCCAAGTCAAAAATGATATTTTCTTAACATACAGTACAGGGCACAGACTTCTTTACTCACATGTCCACAGGCAATACAAACTAATCTGTGGGAAACACCGCAAACACCAACAGGGCCACAAGAACCAACAGGAGAACTAAATCCTGAAAGTCAACTGGTGCTGAAAAGGCCAAGATGAACTGACAGACCTAGTCAAATAACAACAACTGGAAAGGGAGAAACTCTGACTTTCAAGGTATAAGCTTTAGTGATAGCATTTTAAACCACCTAGCAATGTTGAAAGGAAACAAATGGTGCCCCTTGTAGAAGCCCACAGGCAGGAGAAAAAAAGAGCCCGACTGATAGAGGCAGTAACCAAAAGGAACACACGCACCACTTTCAAACTGTGCAGCAAAATTTCTATGCCTCCAGAGCATGGCAAAGAGAACACAGGACAAAGTCCTGAATACAGTGGAATGAAGAAACCACCCAGGAGAGAAAGGAGGCCTGAGGTTGCAGAATCACCTTAGTCTGAGAAAAAAAAAAAAAAAGGGTTCTTTAAAAAGGATAAGCCTGGCAATTCCAAAACCTGTCTTGCAGACACGATAGCCATGAGGAACGTAACTTTAGATGTAAAGTCCACCAAGGGAAAGTCCAAACAGGCTCTAAAGAAGGTCTCTGGAGAGCCGAGAGGATAAGATTAAAAGAGAACCAAGGCCTATTTTTTTTTGCTATAGTTGTCTTTCGGGTCACAGGAGGACATATACCAATAACCGGTATATATGCTGAAAGCGCAGTGCAGTGCTGCAGCCAGGACTGATCCACAGCTGCCTCTGCCTCTCTAGAGAGAGGCAGCCATGCCTGCTCCCTCCCCAGTCCAATACTCCAGTTAGTGCTGGAGAGACAGATAAGGGAGGGGGGAATCCCTGTGGGGACTGGTGATTGACAGTCACCACTCTCTGCAGGGAGAAGATCGTGAAATGAGCGATCAGTGGTATGAGATCGCTCAGTTCCCGATCTATAAAGCCAACGTGTGACAGCTATAGTGGTCACACGTCGGCTCTAATTATGGGGATAAATTTCGCCCCATAAATCTCCTTTAAGATTTCACAGCGATACTGCGGAATGAATTGGGGAAGGAGAGCTACATGAGCCAGACTTTTCAGCACAGAATGAGCAGCAAGAGGTTTCTGAAAGAACTGCAATTTGACCCTTGAGTGCAACTCAAGGTCAATCGCTGGTCGAGTCCAGAAGACCAGATTGGAGGAAGATAGGTTAATGTTCCATAGAGTAGCTTCTGGGAAGGAACCCTCGTCTCTTCGCATCAAGTCCATTTGGGCCAGTTTAGTGCCACCAAGATCACCAGAAATCTCTCCATTTCGACCCTGCAGAACAGACTAGGAAGAATCCGTGTAGGAGGGGACCAAGGATCATAGCCTTAGTAGCTTAAGATGCAGCTAGGCTGAGGTGAGAATCTTTAGATAAGTTGTGGAAGTAGATTTAGCCAGAAACTAACTTTCAGTAGAGAGAGGTCATCCTTCAGCTAAGGACACCAAGAAAAAAATACCAGGAGGATTACCGGAAGCTGTCCCACATTTCTGTTAACCAGTAGCCACCCACCTAAAGATGGCTGCAGTGTATGATTAGAGGACACCATGTCCTGTACGATTAAGGAAAGCATCTTAAAAACATATTTTTTAAAATATACCTCAATCCCGAGAACATTTGCTACAGAAAAGTTGGGCATGCCTACCTTGTGTCTAGGAATATGCTTCAAATCATCAAGGTAAAACACCTCAACATCATATGGCTTTCCTTCAACATTGAAAATGGATGCTGGGACCAGGCAGTTGAGGACCGGCACAGCAAAATAATCTGCAAATTCTCTGCAGTTTATAGTAGCAGACATCAAAATTACCTGTAGAGATAAAAAAAAAAGAAAATGCAGTCTTTTTTTTTACTTATTCAATGCAATATTACTTTAGCTTACACTTGATAAAATGCAAGCAAATCACCCAACCAGTGGAGTCCAGCACAATATTGTCCACAACTACAAACTGGTATACATGGTAGCTACACCAGCGTATGGCACAGCATAGAAGAGTCAAACCCTCTGGTCAGGATTTCGGCAGTGTCCCTACATCTAAAAGCAAAAGGGTCACTCCTTTGAAGACAGTCAACTACGCATCCTAGACAGGGAGGAGGGCTGGCTTAAAAGAGGTGTGAAAGAGGCCATTTATGTAAAAATGGAGAAGCCAAGCTTGAATAGAGGGGGGGGAGGGTGAGACATCTATTGTCTGCCACATACAATGCTGTTTTAACACCTGGGCAGGTTAACACCTGGGCAGGTTAATAACACCTCCTAGATGCAAATTAAATCAACAGCTGGTTGCGACTAACAGATTATGTGGATTGGAGCAACATTCACCATATTTATTCCCATAGCATTTTTGTACATCTCATTCCAAATTGAGAAAGCTGGTTGGATGAGAAGTGAAACGTCTTCAAGAAAAATACAGCAAGTCCAGTTGCACTGACTTATTTTTTACAGATCTACTGCTTCTTGTTCACAGTACTGGAGGTGGCCTTACACCCTATTTGCTGTGCAATTCCTCTGTTTGGCATTGTTGCACTCACTCACTCTGCTTCACTCACTGTTTTTCACCCTTTGTTCTCACTGGAATAAAGACTCTGACAACCAGAAAGCACACTTGCAGCACACAGCAAATAGAACAAACAACCAGCCGTGGCACACCAGGGAGTCCGGGAGAAGTAGCAGCTTCAGCACATGGGCACAATACACCAGGCAAACACATACTTTAATAATGCTTTGAACATATGTAGTACTGCTAGGAGTGTGGTGACTACATGGTTTAACTTCCATTTCGAGCCTTAATATAGCACTCGCATTCTTCTTCCATCCAATGCAATTCCCTGTTGAACGTTTGCAAGATGGTCACTGGGTTGTAGCAAATTATGGTGGCTTGGTTGACACACAGCACATTAAAAAAAAGGAGACTAGGACAATCCTCTGATAAACATACAGCAATATTATCTTGCATATATGGCCCATTAAAAAAAATGGAAACACACATTTTGTTATTGTTAACATGAAAGCCTTTACGAAGAACTCCGGCATGTCAAACATTAACCCATGCAGCTTGGCTAATGCCAAACTGTAAGGGTGAAGTGCTTGTTCTAGTCTAGAGTTTAAAATCAAAAAAGATACTCGCCCAATCCTTGGTCCCACCTGGCTGCTGACCTAAATCACACTTACGCAAGGTCCAATCAATTGTATTGGACGCAAGGACGCCGAGTGACATACCAAAGCCCGAGTGGAGGGTTGAGAGGTGAGTGGTCACCACTGCATAACTGAGGATCAGGCGAGTGTTTATTTTAAACCCTAGACCAATAACAGCACTTAACCCTTAGCGTTTGCGTGGTAGCCCCCCTGCAAGGGTTAATGATTTCCGTGCCTGGAGTTCCTTTTAAAAAGTTGCCACACAGTTGTATGGCGTTATGCCTTCTGTGCAGCCATATTTACCTCTTGCCGTCCGCCCGTTAAGAAAAAACGGACGGACGGCTCACTCGCATCAGCGGGTTGCAGTCTCCAGACGGCATTTTTTCCTGCGCGCACGGGCAGGAAAGACCCGCTCGTTACTACAGCCGTTAACGGCTGTTTCACATACAACCAATCAGCGGCTCTATAGCCGCCGATCG